GGTTCGCTGTTCACTTGACCCAGAAAACCACACAAAAGCATGCATATATCAAGAGGTTCCAATCTTCGTGTTATCTTTTAAGAACACTCGTAAAACTTCCCAGGCCATCAAGGGTATGCATATTAGAAAAGCCACCAAATGTCTGAAGGATGCCACTCTACAGAAGCAATGTGTGCCATTCCGTCATTACAATGGTGGAGTTGATAGGTGTACCCAGGCGAAACAGTGGGGCTAGACCAAGGGTGGGCAAACTTTTTGACTCGAGGGCCACAATGGGTTCTTAAACTGGACCAGAGGGCCGGAACAAAAGCATGGATGGAGTGTTTGTGTGAACTAATATAAATTCAAAGTAAACATCATTACATAAAAGGGTACGGTCTTTTTTTTTTAGTTTTATTCATTTCAAAAGGGGCAGATCCGGCCCGCGGGCCGTAGTTTGCCCCACGGCTGGGCTAGACACAGGGTTGGTGGGCCAAAAAGAATGCTTGCTGTACATTCTTAAAAATGCAGACAGTAATACTGAACTTAAGGGTTTAGGTATAGATTCTCTGTCATAGAGCACATCCCCCCAAACAAAGCTTCAGTGTAGAATTTACAGAGCTCATGAGCAGATTAACCCACACATGAGCCCTCCCTTCCACAATGAGGTGATCCTACTGAAAAAGAGCAGATTGTTCCTAACCTAGAAGAGGCGGTTGCACAGAAGGAAAAATATCCCAGAAGAAACTGAAAAAACAAAAACTTATAAATACGAAGATGGCGGCATAGGTAAACACCTGAAATTGCTGCCTCACACAACCACTTGAAAAATACAACTAAAAGACAAAACAGACATCATCCAGAACAACAGGAAGGCTGGCCGAGTGGAACTTCTACAACTAGAAGGAAAGAGAAAAGCACACTGTGACTCAGAGGAGGTGTGGAAGTAAAGTGCAGAGGTACGGAGGTGCACGTGGAAAGGGCCGGCAACTGAGGACGCAGCTGTCTATTTAAATCAGGAGGGAGTCACAAGCCCCCGACTGCTCTGAACTCCAGTTCCAGGAAGTCTCTGGGGACCCAGACTCATAGGGGGAGAAACTGGACTGTCTGGCAGTGGGCAGAACTCGAGGGCAGCTTTCTCTCAGAGGTGCTTGCAGCAATTACCCCAGGACACTGAGACATGGGGCCTCTTGGGGCAGGGCTAAGGATCAGCCATAGCTGTTTGCTCCGCCCTGTTGATTCCCTGAGACCCCGCCCCACTCAAGCTGTGCGAAGAGGCTTTTGGATATGAATGACCTGGCCCTTTGCAATCTAAAATTACCTAACAAACTGCATCTGGGTCAGAGAGATCCAGAACATCCAAAAGAAGGCTCAAGGCCCCACAGCAGCTTGCATTGCTTCATAGCTGGACCTCATTTGGGCACCTCCAAATCCCAAACAAAGAAGAGGAATCTGCAGATCTCTCCATAGCTCCTGCTGGGTAGCCTCAGGCAGAGGCTAAATTAGCACCTCCTTAGAGATTCAAGTGCCAGTGTACCCAGTGGTCAGAGTGGGACCACCCAGATTACAACTCCTCAGATCCATAAGGGACACACTCAGGGGGCAGACTCAGTGAGCACCTAAGCGCCACTGAAGCAAGTCTTGCCCCATAAGGGTGTCTCCAGCACAGAAGTTCTCCCACTGTAGACATGGCTGATTCTCATAGCCAATTGGCCTGGAGGTCAATTCCTCCCAGTGATACTTACAACAATCAAGGCTTAACTACAACAAGACTGTGCACAAAGCCCACAAAGGGGAGCACCAAGAGTGTCCACCTCAGGTAATTGGGGAGGCTGAGCTACTGGGCCCTATAGGACACCTAGCACAGAAAGCCACTCTATCAACACAGAGAAGCATAAAAAATGGGGAGACAAAGAAACAGGTCACAAATGACAGAAATGGAGGAAAGCAAACTACTGGATATAGAGTTCAAAACCACGATTATAAGGTTTTCAAGAATTTTCTAGAAACCGCCGATAAATTTAGTGAGACCCTCGATAAATCTAGTGAGACCCTCGAGGATATGAAAAAGGACCAACTAGAAATTAAGCATACATTGACTGAAATAAAGAATATTATACAGACTCCCAACAGGAGACTAGAGGATCGCAAGAATCAAGTCAAAGATTTGAAATACGAAGAAGCAAAAAACACCCAACTGGAAAAGCAAAAAGAAAAAAGAATCCAAAAATATGAAGATAGTGTAAGGAGCCTCTGGGACAGCTTCAAGCGTACCAACATCAGAATTATAGGGGTGCCAGAAGATGAGAGAGAGCAAGATATTGAAAACCTATTTGAAGAAATAATGACAGAAAACTTCCCCTACTTGATGAAAGAAATAGACTTACAAGTCCAGGAAGCGCAGAGAACCCCAAACCAAAGGAATCCAAAGAGGACCATACCAAGACACATCATAATTAAAATGCCAAGAGCAAAAGACAAAGAGAGAATCTTAAAAGCAGCAAGAGAAAAACAGTTAGTTACCTACAAGGGAGTACCCATAAAATTGTCAGCTGATTTCTCAACAGAAACTTTGCAGGCCAGAAGGGAGTGGCAAGAAATATTCAAAGTGATGAATGCCAAGAACCTAAAACCAAGATTACTTTATCCAGCAAAGCTATCATTCAGAATTGAAGGTCAGATAAAGAGCTTCACAGATAAGAAAAAGCTAAAGGAATTCATCACCACCAAACCAGTATTATATGAAATTCTGAAAGGTATTCTTTAAGAGGAAGAAGAAAGTAAAGATAAAAATTATGAACAAGTACATATCTATCAACAAGTGAATCTAAAAATCAAGTGAATAAAAAATCTGATGAACAGAATAAACTGGTGAATATAATAGAATCAGGGGCATAGAAAGGGAGTGGACTGACTATTCTCGGGGGGAAAGGGATGTGGGGGGTGCAGGAAGAGACTGGACAAAAATCATACGCCTATGGATGAGGACAGTTGGGGGGGGTAAGGGCAGAGGATGGGGTCGGAACCAGGTGGAGGGGAGCTATGGGGGGAAAAAAGAGGAACAACTGTAATAATCTGAACAATAAAGATTTAATTTAAAAAAACAAAACTTATAAATACTAATAAAAGTAAAAATAAAGAGAGAGAGAGGGAGAGAGAGAGAGAGAGGTGCTAGTCAACGGTAAAGGATCTTGAGATGGTAAGAGTAAAGGCAACCCAAAGCATTGTTTGCAAAAATGTCTTGGAGATAAGACACCTCCTCATTTATAAAGAAAGGAAGTATCTATAAGTTTGTAGGTTTTGTAACAGGAAATTAAAGAAGTTCTCATTTGATGGCCTCTGTTTTCTCTATAAAACTGCTGGTAGAAAACAGGTTGGGAGTTTTATGGAAAGTGGAAAGACTTGGAATATTGTAGGAAGTGATAGAGCAAGTTGGCCTGATAAAAGTAATAGGACTAGTAGGCAGTGTTGAGGGCCTGTATACTATTGTAAAAATGAACTCACCAGTTCTGCTTTCCTGTGTGGCTTTCTCAAGCAGGAAGGGAGAGTTCACTTAGGGTTGAGATGGTCACTGGTATAATGGTATTTTCTTAACCAGGGGCATTTTTGCCCTTTAGGCCAGGGGACAGTGTTTGGATACTTTTTTTTTATTGTTTTGATGATGGGGGTGGGGGGGGCGGTGTTGGGAGAAGATGTAAGAGGGGGACTAGAGGCATCTGGTGTCCAGGGATGTTGCTAAATATCCTACAATTCACAGTATAGCACAAGAATTATCTCCACATATATGTGCCAAGGTTGAGAAACCCTGATCTAGGATTACCTTGATGTTCACCAACAGCATATTTTGGTCTTCTGTAAGCTTTTCCTTGGATTATGGCCCCGAGTTTATAGGCATAGCAATTCTTTCATTGTATGTCTTTTAAAGGAGAGTATGATGAACAGCATACCCCAGATGTGTTTCAAGGACTTGTGATGTCATAAATACAGAATTGGAATAGTTACTCAATCCTCTAGAAGGAAATCTGGACTTACACATAGTTGGTGGGAGCTGCTTACGTTGATCTGAGGCATTGAAGTTCTTGTTAAACATAGATATTAAGCCCTAGCTGGTTTGGCTCAGTAGAGAGCAACAGCCTGCGGAATGGAGGGTCCTGGTTCGATTCCAGTCAAGGGCACATGTTCGGATTGGGGTCTCGATCACCAGTAGGGGTTGTGCAGGAGGCAGCTGATCAAAGATTCTCATCACTGATGTTTCTCTCTCTCTCTCCCTTCCTCTCTGAAATCAATAAGAATATTTTTTAAAAAGACACAACTTAAAAACACACACACATAGATATTATTAGAGATTCAATAATATAGAAGTAACACTTCAACCTTAATGTAATTTGGTTATCTGACTAGTTTAGTCACTAAAATAGTATCTTGTGGGAATGAGTATCTTGTGGGAATGAGTATAATAATACTGGAAAATATATGCACAGTGGGTATAAGAATATAATCATAGGTATTGATGGATTATCTGCTCATGTAAAACTAGCAACACCCTGAGAGATAAGATTATTTTACATTTAACTCTGAGGAAAGTGAGGTTCCAAGAAATCTTGTAATTTTGTCCAAAGTCACAAAGTTCAACATTTCAACTCAGGTCCGTCTGTTCTAAAGCTTTCTCATTGGGACTTTTTCATTTCACTTCCATTAAGTGTTAGTAAGTTTTGCAGAGGAGTAGTGGTTGAAAATTTAGCTGACACCGTTGCTACTTGGGAAAAAAGTAAGCGCACGAGGGAGGCCCAGAAAGAGCAGAGAATGAAAGAGTAGCCAGGAAGGCTGATCGCGGGAGTGTCTGGTGCTAAGCCTTCCGCAAGCCAGCCTGCCTCTGGGCGTGCTCCTTCCTGAGGGAAGCCTCTTTCCCCTATGTCCGTTGTTCACTCTCGCGTGTTCAAATAAAGCTAGATTATTGAGAAAGGCGGACTCCAAAGGGAAAAAAAAAGGAAGCGCGAAGGCCGCGCCCTGCGCCTGCGCACTGGCGGCGGCGGCGGCGGCGGTGCCCGGCGTGGAGGAGCGGGTCCGGAGGGCCGCCGGACCCAAGGCGGAGGAGGGCGTTTGGGAGCGCCTTCGCCCGGGCCTCGGCGGCCTGATGGAGTAAGAGGGTCGGCAGCTAGGGTGAGTACCCAGGGCCGGGCTGTGCTCGGGGGCGCGGGAGGCCGGGGGTCTGCCCCTCGGGAGGTGGGGGCTGCAGGTCGCGGCCGGGTCTGTGCCCCTGCGGGCTGGGGCGCAGGGCAGCCGGGTGGTCCCCGCTCCTGGAGCGCGCACGGCCCGGCTGCGTTTCTGGCTTGGGGGGTACCCATTCTCGCGGGGGCGTCCCAGGCTCGCTCCCCGCCCCAGCAGGAAATGTGGCTGCAGATCCCTGACCTTTGGGGAAGGCCGCCGACCTCCTTAGGCCTCCGGTGCCGCAGGGAGTCCGTACGCCCAGGTGCTTATCGGCCTCCGGGACTTTGGGCCAGGGACACCTTTCGACCTCTTGGGAGTGGCAGCCTCTGTTGTGTGTGTGTGTGTGTGTGTGTTTGTGTTTTAATTCCTTCCGTTTTCTCCCCCAGTGGCATGCGTTTTAATAATAGAATCATGGAGCGCTTACTATGTGTCAATTTAATATTTGAGTCCAAATCTCGGTGCATAATTATGGAGAGAAAATGCTTTGCATCCCACTCCCTTCAATCGGCTCCATTTAATCATCTTGAGAGTCAGAATCATGTTGTGAGAGTCGGAGATTAAGTCATCTTGGGGCGTTTGAGATTTCCATGGCTCTTAGCTGGGGACTGCCATTCTAGTTCAGGGCAAGTTTTTTTCGTACCTAGCAAATGAATGCTATATTCACCATAATGGTTTATATCGCATTAACTCAAGCCAAAACAACTTTTCAGCACTTACTAAGAGCCTAGTAAGTCTTGTTCTAAATTCCATGGTAAATCTTAACATTTGTTTTAAACGCTGTTTTCAAGTTTTGGTAGTGAATGAAACAATGGAAGACAATTACTTACATTCAACTAGGATTTACTAGTACTTAGCACCTACTACACTCAGATACACTCAGGTCTGTCACAAAAAATGAGATATTGTAACCTTGTGTTTTTTTGTTTTTTTTGGAGCACATTTTAGATGAGGGCTGAGAGTTTGATGGTAATTCACTCAAGCTAATTTAACTAGTGTTAAGTGGTGATATTCACATACAGTGCCTAAGCTTATCTATTTTTTTCTGTTACTCCAAGTTAGATATATAAAGTACTACTGCTGAGAAGCAACTACATTACAGTTATAGTTTCTGGAGTTAACTATAGGAGTCTAGAAAATGGTCAGAGTTTTTAATTAAGGATACTGGATGGTTTTTTAAACAGAACTTCAAAATGGCTTGGAAATTGGGAGCGCTATGAAGGAGTCTGATTAGGTTAGTTCAGAACCAATTATTCTGATCAAAAGAAAGATTTAAAGAGGAAGACTGGACGGTAATTATTGTATATTTAGGTTAGAACACATGTAGTTTGAAGGCTACTGTATAAGAAGAGAAGCAAGGAATAATGGCAGCAGATGTCAGCTGTCGTGGTTCTGGGACAAGGAGTGGCTCAGTGAGAAATACACATATTTTGTCATTTGTAATTACGGTAACTAAGTGGGAACTTTGGGATTTATTTGTGTACTCAGTGAATGAGAGCACCTAGGCAGACAAGTTACATATGAATACTCCAATTGCACATCCGCTATGCTAAATTTCTAATTGAAACCTTAGAGTCCATTAGATTTCTGACTTAATTTTTAATCTGAAAGAGATTATCAAAAAGTGAGAGTTCCTAAGTAATGAATCAATAGTGGACTATTTAAGTAAATTATGCATGTGTTAGGATGAGCCAGGGTTCCCATCAAGATGGCAGCATAGTTAAATGCCATACTTGAATCCTCCAACAACCACATCAAAATTACAACTAAACAATAGGACAACTATCATTCAGAGACACCTGAAATCCCGCTGAACACAAGTCCTACAGTTAAGGATATAAAGAAGAAGCCACATGGAGACTGGTAGGAGGGGTGGAGGTGCAGACCTGGCCAGTCCCATACCCATGGTGGCAGATAAAAATCAGGAGGGATCTGGGCTGCAGAAGTTCCCCCTGAGGAGTGAGGGTTCCCAGCCCCACACGAGGCCCCTCAGCCCAGGGTTCCCGTGCCAGGAAGAGAAGCCCCCGTAAGTTCTGGCTGTAAAAACCAGCAGGGATTGTGACTGAGTGAGATGGAAGGTGGCTGGAGACTCAGGGGTTTCTCTTAAAGGCCCCATACACAGTCTTAGACTCACTTGTTCTAAGTTCCGGTGCTGGGACAGTAGCTCTAAAGGCACCAGGGAGGAACTGAAGTGTCTGGGATCAGGGCAAGAGCTGGAGGAGCTGGTTTCTCTCAGACAGAAGTATTGGCAGAGGCTATGCCGTTTCTGAGCCCTTCTTCACAGAGCCTGCTGGCTGGCACCATATCTGAGTCTCCATCAACCTGGCTTACATAGTTAGTCCTACGCTGGTGATTCCCTGAGACCCACCTCACCCAACTTGTGGGCCTAACCCACATCATTTCTCCTGGCTTTTCCATACAAACTTGGTTCATGCTTCAAACTTTTCTAAAATCCCTCAAACAGGTAGCATCTGGCCCTGTACCTCTCACTAAGTGGCCCCAGGCCTGGCAGTAGTGGTGGCCAGCCTTGGTGCACAGCTTGGCTTCTCTTGAGCATTTCCAAGCCCACTAGAAGTAGCGGCCATCTGCAGATCACTTTATAGCTCATGCTGGGTGGCCCCAGGCAGAGCACAGGTGGTGGCTGATCTTGGCCTGCGCCTCCCAGGAGGTCTCAGAGTCAGTGCACCTGGACAGCTTCAGACCATGTGGAAGCACCACTTCTACAAGGACACACTCAAGGGGTGGACTCAGTAGGCACCAGAGCCCTGCTGAAGTAAGTCTAGTTCTGTGGGGTCGACCCTGCACAGCAGATCCTCCACATTGGTTGTAGCCAGTCTTCGCAGCTCATCAAACTCAACTACAACGGGAGATTATACACAGCCCACATAATGCGGAAAATGGTCTTTGACCATAATGGGATCAATGTAGGTATCTTAAAATAGTTGGCGATTCAGTGAAACTTTTAAAGTTATGAGTCAAAGAAGAAATATCAAGAGAAATTAAGTATTTTGAACTGGATGATAAAAATACGACATAATTTGTGGGATAACTGTTATAGCCAAGAGGAGCCTAAGGGGACATAATGACTAAATGTAGCTGTCCCCTGGTTCAGATGCTGGGGAAAAAGGATACTGTGTAAAAAATGAGGGAATAAAGCATAGGCTTAAATTAATAATTATGTGTCAGTATTGGTTTGTTAATTGTGACAAATTGTACTAATGTAAGATGTAAATAATACGGGAAACGGGGGCAGGGGGGCAAAAGTAACTTTCAGAGACTGAATACCCAAAATATTAATGGGTATATGGGTACTCTGTTACTTTTTCAACTTTTCTGTAAATCTAAAACTATTCTAAAATAAATAGTTTCTTTAAAAGTGCTAAAAAAATTTTGTGCAATACAGTTGTTACAGTGTTTAAAGAGAACTTTGTAGCCTAAATACCTATTTTAGAAAAGTCTAAAGACAGTGACCTAAAGTTTTATCTTAAGAAGCTAGTAAATGAAAAACAAAATAAAACCAAAGTAGATGGAAGGGAAGATATAATAAAGATGACAGAAGAAATTAATGAAATAGAAAAATACAAAAATAAAATAAAATAACAAAGCCAGAAGTTGGTTCTTTGAAAAGATCAACAATATTGATACACCTGTAGATAGACTGATAGTGAAAAACAGAGAACACAACTTGCTGGTATCAGGAATGAAAGGGATTTATCACTACAGATTCTATAGGACAAGGGTGGGCAAGCCCTGGCACGTGTGCCAAACATGGCACGCCAGTAACTTTTGCTGGCACGCGAAACCCTCTCTTATAATCTTCCATTTAAATTTTTTTTCGTAATATCTACTTTTTTATTTTTTAGATAAATTCAGTGTAGGTGCATCTTAGATAAATAAATAATTTTACATAACAAGTTATCTTAAAGACCATCGACATGGATTAATGAGAGAGGGGAAGAGCAATTTCAATAGTGTCGAAAACGAACTATGGAGGACTATTGGGCTTAGGACTTACTCTGTTACATGATTATAACTTTTAAAAAATATATATATTTTATTGATTTTAGAGAGGGAGGGAGGGGGAGAGAGAGATAGAAACATCAGTGATGAGAGAGAATCATTGGCTGCCTCCTGCGCACCCCTTATGGGGATCAAGCCGCGACCCGGGCATGTGCCCTTGACCAGAATCGAACCTGGGACCCTTCAGGCTGACACTCTATTCATTGAGCCAAACCAGCTAGGGCTATAATGATAACTTTTGCTAATATATATATTTTTAAATATATTTTATTGATTTTCACAGGAAGGGAGAGGGATAGAGAGTTAGAAACATCGATGAGAGAGAAACATCGATCAGCTGTCTCCTGCACACCCACTACTGGGAATGTGCCCGCAACCAAGGCACATGCCCTTGACCGGAATTGAACCTGGCACCCTTCATTCTGCAGCCGGATGCTCTATCCACAGAGCCAAACCAGTTAGGGCAATTTTAATTATTTTGTTTTGATTGGTGTTATCCCAGTTTTTGTTGTTGTTGTTATTTTTCCCTTTGGGATATAATACTTTCCAAGTTTCAGAATTAAGTAAGGAATTGGAACCTTAGTAGTTCTAATTCTGAATTATGGTCTGCCCTGTCCATTTCCTTGCCTGGTGATGGGCAATACGAACAGCTTCAGCTTGGGGCTCAACTTCTAATGTCTTTTCCTGAGTCACAGCTTTAACTTCCTATCTTTGTTTTAGCCCTATGCTTACTAATAAAGAGTGGTTGCTGCATATACTCCTGCTAAATGTGGTTTAGGGCAGATAATATAAAAAGTAAGGCTAGTGAGTAAAATGCTTATGAATGCAGGAAACCACCAATCACTTGCTTTGGGAAACAGGAGCCAGCCAGAATTTAGACTTAGCACTAGGACTCTTATCCAGAATAAGCCTTTGAAAGTTGCAGTTATATGTTGATGTGCCCTGAAATACTTCCTGACCTCTTTGTCAACTTAGCTAGGAGCTTTGAAACTTTCTTGGAGGCCCATTTAGCAAACTGAGGACTACTCAGAAATGCCAGTCAGATTTTTGTTTTATAACCTTTTGGGCAGCCTATGGGTAATGGCAAAACTTGTTCTGTCACTGAACACTGTCTCTGTTGACCTGTCTTGCTTACCAGAAACCCAGTAGTGTTCTGTCAGGGTTAAGGTGGAGGCATAGAGAGTTATCTGTGGAATTCAAAAAACGGAATCTAATCTGAGTACCCCCCCACCCCCCCTTAAGAACTCAATTTTTACGTTTTCCTTCATTGTTTTATAGTACTTGAGACCTGGTGCACAGATTCATGCACTGGTGGGGTCCCTTGGCCTGGGCTGCAGGGGTCGGGGTGAAACCGGCTCTCCGACATCCTCCAAGGGGTCCTGAATTGCGAGAGGGCACAGGCCAGGCCGAGGGACCCCACCGTGCACGATTGGGGCCGGGGAGGGACCGCGGGAGGGCTCCAGGATGTGTCTGGCCCATCTTGCATAGTCTGGAGCCAGATCCCAGCAGCAAGCTAACCTACCAGTCAGAGCGTCTGCCCTCTGATGGTTAGTGCACGTCATAGTGACTGGTTGAATGGTTGGACACTTAGCATATTAGGCTTTTATTATATAGGATTATTGTCATATGAAATCTGAGTTAGCTTTATGTCAAAGTTCAAATATCTTAAGTACTACTGGGTTTGTTGTAATGAATGCTAGAGGTATATGAAAAGACAGATTCCTTTCTCATAGTAAGGCCAAGGAGATTAGACATACCTACTATCAAACAGCCTGTTCTTGCTTATTTCACAAGTTGTTTAAACAGTAAAATTGGATAATGTAACAATGTTGCAAATAAAGTTCTTTGACACTAAACAGTGTTTTCCAGCCTTGAGTTACATAATAAATAGTTGGAGAAATATTCTCCTTTTTTAAAATCCTCACCTGAGGATATGTATTGATTTGAGGGAGGGAAGGAGAAAGACATCCTTGTGAGAAACATTGATTGATTGCCTCCTGTAAGCATCCTAGTTGGGAATCGAACCCACAACCTTTTGGTATACAGGACGATGCTCCAACCAACTGAGCCACTCAGCCGAGAAATATCCTGATATTGATGTTTGAGATGGATTACAGTGTTACGAGATAGTGGTTATTTGGAAGGCTGTCTTGCTGACCAATTTAAGTCACTTTTGAGGAACTCCTCCTGTTAAGGATGGGCAGAGCATAACAAAGTACAAAATGGAGTCTCTGGAGATTCTAATGCAATAGCTCTACTCTGTTTGCACAACTGTATTTATTTCTTTTTATTAATAAATTATGTGGGCGATTCTGATATACTGCTTAGTTTTAGAACTTATTTATATATTAGCAGCAAGAGTCAGGGCAGTGAGTAGAGCAATGGCTGAAGGGAGAAGAACAGATGTAAGGTCATGCAGGTTTATCACACTGAAGAATAGGTAACAGAAATGAAAAACAGAAATCTGTCAGTACTTAGCATCTAAGTATGGGATTCTGAAGGGGAAAAATCAATAATATGGTTTTTACTATTGGAATGGTACTTGTATTGACAGAATAGTAATTAGGATGTTAAGAAAAGGCACTTAATTACAGGATTTTTAGGCTATTATGACAGGAATATCATAGATATTTCTCATAATTACTTGGAGAAAATTTGAAAGATTTTAGAGTGGGTATATGTAAAAGGTAAGGTGGTTAAAGTGAGGACAGCAGTTGAATTTTATACAGTTACTTGACTTGTATGATGTAACCTCAAGCACTTGGAGATCTGAGTTGTGTGGTGGGGAATCCCAGGGGAAACTCTCAATAGAATATTCAGGAGCTTTCTAGATGTGTCCTTTCTGAGTTGTGGTCTCCGCTGATTGGCCAGCACCAGGTCATTATTCCATGCAGCTGGTCCTCCTGAGGCTGGTTTTTGTTTTTTTTTGCTTTTCTGGGCCTGGAGCTGAAATACAACTGAGGCATAGATGTTATCTCTAGCAGCGGTTCTCAACCTGGGGGTCAAACAACCCTTTCACAGGGGTCACCTAAGACCATCGGAAAACACATATATAGTTACATATTGTTTTTGTGATTAATCACTATGCTTTAATTATGTTCAATTTGTAACAATGAAATTGGGGGTCACCACAACATGAGGAACTGTATTAAAGGGTCACAGCATTAGGAAGGTTGAGAACCACTGATCTCTAGGGAGGAAAGGTCTGGAGGTCAAACCTCACCACTAGCTATATGTTAGGGGAGGAAAAGTCACCCTGGGGGTGAGGTCCCACCCTACAATTGTTTATCCAGGTTGCTAGGCACCTGCGGGCTTTCCACTATGCTTAGTTTTCAATTGGGTAAATATGTAAAAACTCCACAAGGACTGCTATTGTTTGTGCCAGAAAGTCACATTTTTATTATTGTTAATCCTTGCCCAGGATTTATATATATATATATATATATATTAATTATTGATTTTTACAGAGAGGAAGGGAGAGAGATAGTTAGAAACATCAATGAGAGAGAAACATTGACCAGCTGCCTCCTGCATGCCCCCAACTGGGGATTGAGCCCGCAAGCAAGGTACATGCCCTTGACCGAAATCGAACCTGGGACCCTTCAGTCCACAGGCTGATGCTCTGTCTACTGAGCCAAATTGGCTAGGGCTGGACTCAACCTTTTGATAGGTGGGGATAACAAGATCACATTGCAAAAGAGTACATGGGGTGGAAGATATGGCTGTGGCCATCTATGGAAACAGTCTACCACAGTGCTGTTAAAGGATTAAGCCGGTTAATAGGGGAACAGTGCAAATGAGGGTTAGAAAGTATTCTGTAGGAGGGCAGGGAAGGCCTCCTTGATGAGGCTGCATGAGAGAGTGAGCCATGAGGACCATAACGACATCTTGGGGAAGAATGTTTCATGCAGAGAGAACAGGAGATACAGAAGAAGCCTTAGGGTAGGAGAATCACTGGAGTGAGCAAGGAATAGCGTGGAGGGATAGAGGGAGAGTGGCAGGGCATGGAGTCAGAGAGAAAGTGAGAAACAGACTTTGTAGCTCGTGACAAAGGACTTTGGATCTTGTCTGAATGAGGTGGGAATCTATTGAAAAATTCTGAGCAGAGGAATTATGTGATCTGATTTAAATTCTGATTTAAATTTTAAAAGAATCTCTTTCTGAGAATCTCTGGCTACTGTTTTGAGAATAGACTGTAAGAGGATAAGAGTAGAAATAGGAAGTCAAATCAGTAGGCTAGTTCCTTGTGATGATATGCTAAGTAGTGATGAATAGTTGGGTTTTGGATATATTTCAAGGTGGGACTGACAGGATTTGCTGGTGAGGGTGGATATGGGGTGGGAAAGCGGGACCAAGGATGATTCTCAAAGTTTTTGCTCTAGGTACCTGGAAAATTGGAATTTTCATTTACCAAGATGAGAAGACTGGGGGAGGAACAGGGTGGAGGTGAGGGAGATGTAAAACTTGTATTTTTGGCCAAGCTAAGAAGAATCTAAGAAGACATCTGAGAGGGGAAAAGGTTACTAAATGTTACTTCCTCATTGCAGGTGTGACGTTGAGTGCTTCAGATCTGGTCACTATGGTACGAGAACGAAAATGCATATTGTGCAACATTGTGTACAGCTCAAAAAAGGTAATAATAGAAGAGGGAGAATCTGAGGCTTTGTGACTGGTCTTTTTTGTTGTTAATCCTCATTGATTTTTAGAGAGTAGAAGGGAGGGAAGTGGGGGTGGGGGGGAGAGAGAAGCATCAACGTGAGAGAGAAACATCGACTGGATGCCTCATGCACATACCCCCACCAGGGTGGGGAATTAACCTGCAACCCAGGTATGAGTCCCTGGCCAGAAATCGAACCCAAGACCCTTTGGGGCACGGGCCGATGCATTACCACTGAACCACATGGCCAGGGCATGACTGGTCATTTTTTCAGAGACGACATATGAAATTTATAGATGGGTAAAAGCTTTTATTTAAAAAAAATCTTTATTGTTGAAAGTATTACATATGTCTCTTTTTCCCCTCCCCCTTTGACCCCTTCTAGGATGCCCAATGGGTAAAAGCTTCTAATGCTGTCTTATTTATACTTCTTTAAACCATAGTCTCATTCCACTGGTTTCTTTCTCATTACTGCCTCATAAAGCCAGTAACTCTTATTAAACCTCTACCCAGAATCTGAGGATACTCAAAAGTAGATAATAAAGAGAAATTTAGTTAATAGTTATGGAGAAAATACCTTAACATTTAAGTTATTTGAGGTTGTACTACTTTCTGATTAGCTGAGAATAACTAAGGATACAGCATTATGTTCATCTGCATTCCATTTCTGCCTATGCTTGTGAAAAGTGCAGGACAGCAGAAATGGTATTAATATCCTCGATGTCCACAGGGTGGGGATATTGCTCCAAGAAAAACAGACATTTTTGAGAACGAAAAGAATTTCCCTGTGCCTAGGGAAGTTGGCTGCAAGTTGTCTCACTTTTTGCTTTTTCTTGCCTTTATCCTTTGCTTTCAAAGTAGTGCAGCTAGCTTAAATATTGAGGATTTTTTTCTCTATTCTTTTTTTTTATTATTAATATATTTCTTTATTGATTTCAGAGAGGAACGAGAGGGAGAGAGAGATAGAAACACCAATGATGAGAGAGAATCATTGATCGGCTGCCTCCTGCACACCCCCTACTAGGGATTGAGCCCGCAACCCAGGCATGTGCCCTTGGCCGGAATTGAACCTGGGACCCTTCAGTCTGCAGGCTGACGCTCTATCCACTGACTCTCTATTCTTTTAAGATGTTCTTTAATATTGGGAATTCAGATAACGGGGAAGATCATTGTGAGCTCTCTGAAAGATATTTGGAAGTAAGATGGTTTGAAATAAATAGAGAAGAGATATTTTGGGTGAGAGAACGTGTACAAAGATACAGAAGTATAATGGCATATAACAGTTCTAGGAGTTGGTAAGAAGGCTCATCTGATTAAAACAGTTTTGTCTTGGTAATGGTGGGACTGTAATTTAATTTGTAATTTAAGTGGAGACAGTAAACAGTGTTGAATGCAAGACTGAGGGGCTTGACTATGGTCCATCGAGTAGGCTGGGATGAAGAATTTTTTTTCCTTACAGGATATCTGATAGTGATGGAAAAGTAAGTTGAGATTTCAAAATCATTCTACCTAATAAAGAGGGAATGTGCTAATTGACCCTCATGCCGTCGCAAAGATGGTGGTGCCCACAGCCAGTGAGGAGGGGATATGCTAATTGACTGTCATGCCCTCAAAGCTGGCGGCGCCCAGTCCCCTCAGCTCTGCTGCGATGCCTGCCTCTGGAGTCCCCCAGTCCCCTCAGCCCCCCAGCTGCCCAGGGCCGCCTGAGACTCAGATAACCAGGGCGCCTGAGGCTTGCGCTGCTGGCAGTGGCAACAGCAGAGGTGTGATGGGGCATCGCCTTCCCCTGATCGCTGGGTTGCCTCCCGCCCCTGAGGGCTCCTGGACTGTGAGGGGGAGGTCAGGCTGAGGGACACCCCATCCAGGGCATGGATTTTCATGCAGCAGGCCTCTAGTGTTTAATAATATACCTGCTGCCTTTTACAAAAGTAAAAAACAAAACAAACTGCTTTTCTAGTTTTAAAAAATTTAGATCAGGGTTTACACAAATTTTCCATAAACAAAAATCCCTTATGGCTACTTTCAGATTGGAGGGATCGGAAATTGATAAAGCGTGAGGTACATAGACACTCAGAGGAGTGAACTCAGACTTTGATGGAGTAGTAGCCCTATCTTGTGATATTTCATAATTTTGTTATTTTAAGTCTTCTACTCTGGTTTCAAACATATTTTAGTATCTTCACACTTTTATATGGATCATAATGAAGTTAAATCAAGGACTGGGATTATCCTTAGGCAAAGCCAACTACAGGCCTTTAAGCAAGGGAATGGCATGATTTAAGTGTTAAGATTAATGTGGTCTAAGAAATTAGCATTATAGGTAATTGAAAGAAATAACTCTGATACTATTTTTAGATAGATCATGAACAACTTATGTTGAAGCAGTGCTCTCTCTAGTTTCCCAAAGTAGTGTAACCCTGGTTTTTTCCAAATACACTGTGGAGGAAAAAGGAATTTTAGGTTGACTTTTTTTTTTTTAAATTAAATCTTTATTGTTCAGATTATTACAGTTGGTCCTCTTTTTTCCCCCCATAACACCCCTCCACCCGGTTCCCACCCCATTCTCCACCCTTACCCCAGCCCCACTGTCCTCATCCATAGGTGCACGATTATTGTCCAGTCTATTCCCACATCCCCCACACCCCTTTCCCCACCAAGAATAGTCAGTCCACTCCCTTTCTATGCCTCTGATTCTATTATAATCACCAGTTCATTCTGTTCATCAGATTATTTATTCACTTGATTTTTAGATTCACTTGTTGATAGATGCGTATTTGTTGTTCATAATTTGTATCTTTACCTTTTTCTTCTTCTTCCTCTTCTTAAAGGATACCTTTCAGCATTTCATATAATACTGGTTTGGTGATGATGAACTCCTTTAGCTTTTCCTTATCTGTGAAGCTCTTTATCTGACCTTCAATTCTGAATGATAGCTTTGCTGGATAAAGTAATCTTGGTTGTAGGTTCTTGGTATTCATCACTTTGAATATTTCTTGCCACTCCCTTCTGGCCTGCAACGTTTCTGTTGAGAAATCAGCTGACAGTCGTATGGGTATTCCCTTGTAGGTAACTGAGTTTCTTTCTCTTGCTGCTTTTAAGATTCTCTCTCTGTCTTTTGCTCTTGGCATATTAATTATGATGTGTCTTGGTGTGGTCCTCTTTGGATTCCTTTGGTTTGGGGTTCTCTGCGCTTCCTGGACTTGTAAGTCTATTTCTTTCACCAGGTAGGGGAAGTTTTCTGTCATTATTTCTTCAAATAGGTTTTCAATATCTTGCTCTCTCTCATCTTCTGGCACCCCTATAATTCTGATGTTGGTACGCTTGAAGCTGTCCCAGAGGCTCCTTACACTATCTTCGTATTTTCGGATTCTTTTTTCATTTTGCTTTTCCGGTTGGGTGTTTTTTGCTTCTTCGCATTTCAAATCTTTGACTTGATTCTTGCGCTCCTCTGATCTGCTGTTGGGAGTCTGTATAATATTCTTTATTTCAGTCAATGTATGCTTAATTTCTAGTTGGTCCTTTATCACAACATCGAGGGTCTCATTAGATTTCTTGTACATCTCATTAAGTTTATCGGAAGTCTCTAGAAAGACCTCAAAAGTGTGGTTTTGAATTCTATATCCAGCAGCCTGCTTTCCTACATTTCTGTCATTTGTGTCCTGTTTCTTTGTCTCGGCATTTTTTATGCTTCGCTGTGTCAATAGAGTGGTTTTCTGTGCTAAGTGTCCCAGTTACCTGAGGTAGACACTCTTGGTGCACCCCCTTGTGGTCTTTGTGTGCAGTCTTGTTGTAGCTAAGCCTTGATTGTTGTAGGTATCACTGGGAGGGTTTTGACCTCCAGGCCAACTGGCTGTGAGAATCAGCTGTGTCTGCAGTGGGAGAACTTCTGTCCTCTAGGGAGGTGCTAATCTAGCGTTTGCCTGAGGCTATCCGGCAAATGGCTCTGTGCAGGGCTTGGGCGGGGCGGGTTGTGTGGGATCAAACAGGGCGGGCGGAGTGAGCAGTTATGGCTGCTCTCAGTCCTGTCCCCAGAGGCTCTGCCTCTCAGTGTCCCAGCAACCGCTGCAAACCTCGGAGAGAAAGCTGCCCTCGAGTTCCAACCGATGCCAGACAGTCCCACTTCTCCCGTTTGAGTCTGGATCCCCAGAGACTCGCCCAGAACTGGAGCTCAGAGCCTGAGACTCCCTCCTGATTGAAACAGACAACTGCGCCCTCAGCTACCAGCCCGCTCTGCGCGTACCTCCGCACCTTTGTATTTTCCGCACTGCGCCTCCTCTGAGTCTCCATATGCTTTTCTCTTTCCTTCTAGTTGTGGAATTTCCACTCAGCCAGCCTTCTAGGTGATGTCCGTTCTGTCTTTTAGTTGTATTTTTGAAATGGTTGTGCAAGGCAGCAATCTCTGGTGTTTACCTATGCCGCCATCTTGGTTTCCCCTTAGGTTGACTTTTAAGTATGAGCTGTTTATTCCATCCCTGAGTATCCTGATATTCATTTATCTATCAAAGACTGAAAAGCTCTCCAGTTAAAAAATATATATTTAAAAAGTTCTTTTGTTTTTTAAAAAAATATTTTTATTTATTTTAGAGAGGGAGGGAGAGGGAGAGGGAGAAAGAGCTAGAAACATCAATGATAAGAGAGAATCATTGATTGGCTGCCTCCTGCACACCCCACACTGGGGATCAAGCCCGCAACCCAGGTATGTGCCCTGACTGGGAATCGAATTGTGACCTTCTGGTTCATAGGTTGATGCTCAACCACTGAGCCACGCTGGCCGGGCAAAAAAAAGTTTTTTAATATTATATACTGTTTTCCAGATTTGTGTGCCCATCAATTTCCCCCTTCTTCCTCCCCTTCTTTAAAAAAACATAATACTGCTCTGGCCAGGGTGGTTTGGTTGAGTGTCCTCCCGTGCACCAAAAGATCACTGGTTCAATTCCCAGTCAGGGCATGTGCCCAAGGCACATGCTCAGGTCATGGGCTCTTTCCCCTGTTGGGGTGTGTGCAGGAGGCAACCGATCAATGTTTCTCACATCAGTGTTTCTCTTTCTCTCTCCCTCTCCCTTTCTCTCTCTCTCTTTCTCTCTCTCTCTAAAAAATCAATAAAAAGGTGTAAAATAAAACAAACAAAAGCATGATACTGCTCTGGCCTGGTTGCTCAGTTGGTTGTAGTATTATCCCGTGCACCAAAAGGTTGTGGGTTTGACCTCCAGTCAGGGCATGTACGAGAGGCAACCTCTCCCTTCCTATCTTTCAAAAAAAAAAAAAAAAAAAAAATCAAAACATATTCTTGGGTGAGGATTAAAAAACACACAATACTGATTAATACAAAAGGATCTAAGTAGAAGCTTGGTAACTGAGCAGGTATGTGTTACTTTAATCCTGTGCCGGGAAATCTTTACCAGTTATTTTGAGAACTCAGTTGGGTTTCTGTTTGCATTCATTCCTCAAAGCAAGATGGGAGAAAATTTCATATGTAAATTTAGGAAAAGATTTGGGAAATGTTTTAGTCAATCAACTCACGTTAAAGTTAATTTTGAATGATAACATTTTTATAATTGAAATAGAATAAAGAATTAGGTTTTATATCAGAGAATAACTTATTTCAGTGAATACAGTTTTGGTCAGGAATGGTTTCAGTGCAAGAAACAGAACCCAGTTAAATTTAGCCCAAGAAAAGAGGATTTAGCATATGTAAGTCTTTAAAAAATTATTTTTTGACTTGGGGGGGGGGGTGGAGAGGAAAAGAGGAAGGGAGAGAGAGAGAAGGAGAGAGAGAGAGAGAGAGAGAGAGAGACACATAGACATCAATTTTATGTTTCACTTATTTATGCATTCATTGGTTTATTCTTATATGTGCCCTGACAGAGATTGAATCCAAAACCTTGGCACATAGGGACAGTGTTCTAACCAACTGATCTACCTAACCAGGGCCTTGGCATATGTAACATAACCCAAGGAAAAAATTGAACAATCAACAGGGATTTGAGCAGTTGTGTATTGCTCATGGATATTTTTCATTCTCTATTATGCCACTAACTTGACTCAGTTTTCAGTTCTAACCATTCTAGTTAGTGGCAAATCAGTTGTAGTTAGAAGGGGTCACATGTAAAGCTGTCCCCTCCAAATGAAACATTTGTAGAGGTAAGAGGAAATGATGGTCATCTTTAGTAAAATTGCTAATTAAGGGAGTGTTTTTTTGTTTGTTTGTTTGTTTGTTTTTAAAATATATTTTATTGATTTTTTTTTATAGAGAGGAAGGGAGAGGGATAGAGAGTTAGAAACATCGATGAGAGAGAAACATCGATCAGCTGCCTCCTGCACACCCCCTATTGGGGATGTGCCCACAACCAAGGTGCATGCCCTTGACTGGAATCAAACCTGGGACCCTTGAGTCCGCAGGCCGATGCTCTATCCACTGAGCTAAACCGGTTAGGGCTAAGGGAGTGTTTTGAAACACAGCCTTCTTTGTCACTCTGTAGTAGATAACTTGTATTAAGACTAGAATGTTAGGTTGTTGTATACTTTTTGACAAATAAACTGTATCTAATGAAAAATCTCAAGGCACTAGATACTTACAATGTAGCATGCTATTTGAAATATTGGCTTTGGTGTCAGATCTGTCAGGGTTTGCGTCTCAGTTTGACCACTTGATTATGACTCTGAGAAGACAAGAATGGGAACATTTTCACATTTACCCCTTTAATGCCTAGCCCTGTCCTTGATAATAAGCACTTGGTAAATGTTTGTGGAATAAATGAATTAGCTTCTCTGCATGTTTGTGTCTTTAGGAAATGAACTGGAGGCCCAAAGCACGAAATTCGTGCATGGGTAGGATCCCTAGGCCTGGCCGGTGATCAGGGCCGATCTGTGGGGCGACTGGTGGGGTGATTGGGGGGCCCCGCTGGCACCTGACTTGGCTGGCCTGGTGCCTGCAGGCTCGGGGCAGCTCCTGCGTTGAGTGTCTGCCCCCTGGTGGTCAGTGCGTGTCACGGCGACCGGTCATTCCGTAGGTCATTCTGCTGTTTGGTCGATTTGCATGTTAGGCTTTTATTATATAGGACTAGAGGCCTGGTGCACAAAATTTGTGCACTCAGGGGATGGGGGAGATCCCTTAGCCCGGCCTGTGCCCTCTCGCAGTCTGGGACCCCTCGGGGGATGACCACCTGCTGGCTTAGGCCTGCTCCCCAGGGGGGGTTTGGGCCTAAGCTGGCAATCAGACATCCCTCTGGCAGCCCGGCAACCCTTGGGGGATGTCCACTTGCCAGCGGGGAGCAGACCTAAGCTGCAGTCGGACATCCTTAGTGCTGCTGAGGAGGCAGGAGAGGCTCCCACCACCACCGCTGTACTGGCAGCCATCAGCCTGGCTTGTGGCTGAGCAGAGCTCCCCCATGTGGGAGCTCACTGGCCACCAGAGGGCAGCTCCTGCATTGAGCGTCTGCCCCCTGGTGGTCAGTGTGTGTCATAGTGACCAGTCATTCCCAGTCTTTCTGCTGTTAGGGTCAGTTTGCATATTACCCTTTTACTATATAGGGTGTGGGCCGGCTGGTTTGCCCTGAAGGGTGTCCCGGATCAGGGTGGGGGTCCCGTTTGGGTGCCTGGCGAGCCTGGGTGAGGGGCTGATGGCTGTTTGCAGCTGGTCACACCCCCTTCAGGGTGGGGGTCCCCACTGGGGTGCCTGGCCAGCCTGGATGAGGGGCTGATGGCTGTTTTCAGGCTGGTCACACCCCCTTTAGGGCGGGGGTCCCCACTGGGGTGCCTGGCCAGTCTGGATGAGGGGCTGAGGGCTTTCAGGCTGGCCAGCGACTGAAGCTCCCAGCCTCGTTTTTTTCTTTTTCTTTTTTTTTTTATTCTGGGATTTATTTACCTTCCACCATTGAAACTTTGTTGCCACTTCAGCTCTGAGGCCACGGCCTGCTGAAAGCAGATATCTGGGATTTGTTTAGCTTTTATAATTGCAACTTTGTTGCTTAGAGTGGATATCAGAGCCGGGCCGCAGCAGGGAGGAAGCTTGGCTTCCTCCATCACTGGAGCAAGCAAGCCTCCTGCTCGCTTCAGCTGTGTGGCTGCCAGCCGCCATCTTTGTTGGTGGTTAATTTGCATATCTTGCTGATTAGCCAATGGGAAGCGTAGCGGAGGTACGGTTAATTTCAATCTTTGTCTATTATTAGATAGGATAATACTCCCTCAGCAGTGTTTTGCAGTTCAAGTGAGAAAATGTTTGAGGCACTTAAACACAGGGCACAGCTAATAGCAATACTCAAAACAGCTAATAGTATATGTAAAAGCCATTCTTCTTTCAGAGAGGAAGAGAGAGGGAGAGAGAGAGAGAAACATCAGTGATGAGAGAGAATCATCAATTGGCTGTTTCCTGCATGCCCCACACTGGAGATCAAGCCCGCAACCCAGGCATGTACCCTTGAGTGGAATCGAACCTGGGACCCTTCAGTCCGCAGGCTGACGCTCTATCCACTAAGTCAAACCAGCTAGGGCTTACCCAAGGAATCTATAGATTTAATGCAATCCCCATTAAAATACTAATGGCATATTTCACAGACCTAAAACAAACTCTCCAAAATTGATATGGCAAACTGGCTAGGGCTAAAAGTCATTCTCTTATTATGGCATGCTGGCTGTATATACTTTGGCATGGCAAAGGGATAGATATTTACAGCTTTTTGTCTTTTTTGAGGTATGTGCATATACATGTGCATATTTTAAAGTGGAAACTCTTCCCACAGATGTAATTTTCTTCCCATAAAGGATGGATACAGAAAGGGGAGAACCTAGTAAATGTTGAAACTTTTCTTTAGAACCAAACAAATCAAATAGGGGCAGTGGGCAGTGAAGATGAAGATGTGATTGAGCTGCTGTGCTCAAAAGTATTTATCAAAAAGTTCATGCTCAATCATAGAGAAGTTCTGTTATATCCATAAGTTCTGTCTAGAATTGATATATCCATCTGTTCATTTAACAGATATTGAAAATTATATGCCAGGCCCAGGCTAAGACATAAATATGAGTTGTAACTTACTTTTGAGAAACTTTCAGTTGGGTGGGGAAAGAGAGTATGTAGAAAAGTAGTCATATAGTTGAGAAGTTATGTGATTTCAGAGTTTTTAAAAAAATAAAACTTTAGTGAATTCCTTATATTGGGATAGAATTTAACCCACGTAATTTATTCTTTTTAAAAATATATATTTTTAATTTATTTCAGAGAGGAAGGGGGAGGGAGAGAGAGATAGAAACATCAATGATGAGAGAATCATTGATCAGCTGCCTCCTGCACTCCCCACACTGGGGATCGAGCCCACAACCCAGGTATGTGCCTTGACCAGGAATCAAACTTGTGATCTCCTGGTTCATAGGTTGACGCTCAACCACTGAGCCACACCAGCTGGGCTCACATAATGTATTCATAAAGCTTTTGTCTTCTAAAAACAATATACTTTCTAACCTTTTTAGAAAGCCGCCTATATGGGCCTTTCTTTTTTTTTTTTTTTTAAATATATATATTTTATTGATTTTTTTACAGAGAAGAAGGGAGAGGGATAGAGAGTTAGAAACATCAATGAGAGAGATCGATCAGCTGCCTCCTGCACGCCCCCTACTGGGGATGTGCCCGCAACCAAGGTACATGCCCTTGACCGGAATCGAACCTGGGACCCTTCAGTCCGCAGGCCGACGCTCTATCCACTGAGCCAAACCGGTTTGGCTATATGGGCCTTTCTTTAAAATTCCTTTATTTGAAAATAGAACATAGCTAAAGAAATATTTAATAAGGAACTGTTTACAATATTGAATTGAGAAGAGTAACCACAAACACTTATGACACTAGGAGCTTGAGTCCCCATTGTTGATTGAACATGAACAGAGGAATTTTTTTTTCCCACAACACAATCCCCCTTTAATCTGCTTTCTTTAATTTTGAAGGAGATGGACGAACACATGAGGAGCATGTTGCATCACAGGGAACTTGAGAACCTGAAGGGCAGGTATGGGAACCGCTGTCTTCCATAAACTTCTGAATGTGGGGGGAGCTGAGTACGATGAGACCTGTCAGCCTATTTTAGTTATCCTTCATAAAGAATATTATCTTATGGCATAGAACTATCTTTTAGGATTAATAACAAGTACTATAGATTTTTTGTCATTCAAAAAAATTAAATCTTTTGTGCATCTCTAATGTGTAGAATTCTCAGCAGCTATAGTAAGTAGATTATAACAAAGGTGTATTGGGATGAGCTAGCAAGCTTTGTCATTCCTACACACCAGCCTTGCAATTAGGACATTTTATTGCATGCAATAAACGTTTAGTGTTGCTAGAATAGTCTGAAAAGTCCAAAGTCTGCTAAATAGTACAAAATCTCATTAGTGTAAGAAATTATAGTGCTGCTTTGTGATGTAAGGCTGGAGATGTTTAAGGAAAGAAAATGTAGTAAGTAAGCACCTTTAAAAAATTAAATGTAGCATATGTGTGTATTCCATTGTCATTTTTTTCTTCTGTGGTTTCGTTTTTTGATGTTTTGACTTTTGTGGATTTGAAATTTGAAGGCAATATGAAACAGAAACATTGGGGAACTGAAAAATATTAATTATATCTTACTAGAGGCCCGGTGCACGAAATTCGTGCATGGGTAGGGTTTCTAGGCCTGGCTGGCAATCAGGGCCAATTGGGGCTTCCTTCCTCGGACTTCCTTCGTTCCGTACCGCCCCCTGGTGGTCAGCATATGTCATAGTGAGCAGTTTGAACTCCCGGTTGAACTCCCAAGGGGACACTGCATATTAGCCATATATATATATATATATATATATATATATATATATATATATATATTCCATGCATAATAGTTACAAGCTTTGTTCAGATGCCAGCCTAAGCCATTTGGAGTTATATGTATTGTAAGTAATACAGTTTTAGATTGTGTGAGCTAATTAATATGTTATTAAACTTTCAGCAGCTGTTTAGCATATGAGTGGAATTTTCCACTTACTGTGTGAAGGTTAGGTCTTAGCAGCAGTATGAGCCTTTCACTCTGATTTAGTTTGGAGAGCCCTTATAACCTTGAATATACATCATCTTTAACTCATTGTTATTGGGAACCTATGAAATAGTCAACTTTCAACTATGTGTAGACTATCTTAATTACTTAATCCCATTTCCAATAAACTTCCTTCAGGAATTCACCTTATTCTGGGCTATTCACCTGCCACCTGACTATATTATAAAATAAAACAAATGAGGTCGATAAATCTAGTCATTAGGAGAGAAGTTGATTTTATTGGTAGATTAAAGCCTATTAAAGATCACTAATCAGCTATTTAAAACATTTTAAAAACAAATTTTGATTAAGATTTATGTTCATAATGAATACAGAATCATAAAAAGTAAAAAAAGTAGAAGTCGTCTAACACCTCCCTCCCCCTCTCAAGCCCTAACTCCTACTCTCCTCTTAGAACAGTGATGGTGAACCTTTTGAGCTCGGCGTGTTAGCATTTTGAAAAACCCTAACTTAACTCTGGTGCTGTGTCACATATAGAAATTTTTTGATATTTGCAACCACAGTAAAACAAAGACTTATATTTTTGATATTTATTTTATATATTTAAATGCCACTTAACAAAGAAAAATCAACCAAAAAAATGAGTTCGCGTGTCATAGGTTTGCCATCACTGTCTTAGAAGAAAGTCAACAGTTCGGTGTGTATCCTATCCAAACCTCTTTCTGTGTGTATACATAGATTTATATTTAGCTATACACACACATTTTGGCTTACTAACATAACTGAACCACGGCTACATATGTACTTTTCTGTAACTTGTTTTTCCTTCCTCCCTGGAGAATTTAACTGCCATGGAGAATTTGTCTACCATTTTGTTATTTGGAGCATAATCAAGTAATTAAAGAGAAAGCATTAGAAGCCTCTGAGCTGACAATATAAATGTCCACTTTAACGTCCAAACTCTCTTTATTTAGAGGAGAGAACTTTAATACTTATTTACTCATTTTTTAGATACCATGCTAATAAGTTATAATGGTTTTCTGGCCTGTAACAAATTATAAGGGAGAAGGCAAGCAGATAGCAAGAAAAAACAGCTGACAAAACTATAAAAAACAAACAAAATCTCAAGTCATCTACTTACTTGGAGCATTTACTGTAGGGTCAAGCAGTTACCATTAGTTTATGCATAGACACAAATAGTTATCAATTAGTATTTAGTTTTCTTTTTATCATCATTTTGTGATTTTTTCCCCCTCTGAATGTCATGATGTTATGGCTTCTTGTTTCTTTTTATATTTGTACTAGAGGCCCAGTGCATGAAAATTGAGGGTACCCCTCAATCCACCTGCCCCCTCTCACAGTCTGGGAGCCCTCAGGAGATGTCCTACTGACAGCCTGGCCTCCCTCTGCGGGAGGAGGCTGGCCGATGAGGGGAAGGCATCCCCCATCACCCCCTCGCTCCTGCTGCCTCTGGCCTCCCTCTGCGGGGAAGGCAATGCCCCCATCACGCCTCTGCTGCTGCCACTGCCGGCTGTTGTGGCTTTCTGAGCCTTGGCCCTCGCAGCCACCGTGGCTTGCCCGAGCCTCAGGCTGGCCCTGGCGGCGGCAGCCGCCGCCATCCACAGCTTGCCTGAGTCTCAGGCAGCTGCTGCGGCTTTATCTGGAAGGACATCCAGAAGACGCCCACTCTAATTAGCATATTAGCCTTTTATTAGTATAGAATAGATCACTATAACTTTTGGTTGTGATCTGGTTAAAAAATGTAAAGAGCGTATTTTTTAGGTTTTGAATGCCAGCTTGATTGAGAATTAAATAACTTATCTTATTTGGTTCATAAGTGTGGACATCTGAAGCATTTCCTTATTTTTTTCCTAATATACTTGTTCAGATGTGTGGCCTGAAAGTAGTTTCTATGGGTAGATGCTATTAAAAAGGCACAAACCTTTATTTATCAACCAGCTGTTGTGGTATAGTTAGAGCAAGCTTAATAAAGAAAAGCTTATGGCTAGAATATCTTAAGGCTTTGCCTTTCACACACGGGAGGAAATTGGGTGGTAACAGGATGAAGCTAATTTTGGCCCTTTGCACACCCTGAGGAGAATTTTTGCCTTTACTAGTCAAGAAGTAAAGCAGTACTTTTTTCCAAGAATTCCTTTACATATTTATAGAAAGTAATATTTTAACTGGTTATTGATAAAGAACTAAAAAGGCTCATTATTAAGATTTTATTTAAAATGCTGTTAACTTTTTAAAACATGTGCTTTCCCAGGCACCATCTATGGAAGCATGAGTGCATATTGTGTATAGAATATGCTTGTCTCCAGACACAGATATGTTCTAATTTTTAAGACTTGTGGTTGACCTACTCCGTTCTTTTCATAGATAAATATGGATCCTCTTTTCTCTTTTTGATGTTTCTTGTAAAGCTTATCTCTCTCTTCTTTAAACTAGATTTCATTTATAAGAAAAATGTTAGGGATTTCTGGGTTTTGATCAATTGTTTCCATTGTTAATTTTTATGTTGCCTGTACCCTTCTGGGCAGGATCTCTTAAGGTGTTTTTCTATCGAATAACTTTGGAACCATGGTTAATCATTAGTTTTTGCAAGGAAAGCAGAAATGTTTTAAAAATCTGTGTTTAAGTGTCTATTACATGTCCAACATATGCTTGTGCTTTGGAGATTGCAAAGTGTGTGGGTTTATGAAAATGAATGTTTATTTTTTAACAGAGTTAAATACTGCCTACTTTACACTACATTCCTTAATATTTTAAAAAGTCAGTGTGGCCTTCCAATTATGTCTTTAAAGAGAGAGGGAGGGATTTTGATAGTTTGGACCTGAGGAAAATTGTCTGCATTTTAAAGTAAGGATAAAATCAGGGATTTTACTTAAGAATACCTTTTAGAATGATGTTCTTGGTACTGCAATATACAGGTTAGCATTCTGTAAGCTTTTAGATAGAAAAGTAGACTAGAAGACGTTCCATAATTTTAGAGAGTTTAAAACCAAAAAGATTTTTTAACCAGAAAATTCAGTTGATTTAAATTTTTATTATAATATAAACTATGTATGCTATGTTAGTTACAGTCTTCAGAGGCTTCTGATGCTGCCATTTGGGTTGATTTATATTTATATATTTTAATCTTATTTCTGTGTTGCTGTGAGAAAAGGCTTGTTTTCTGTTACAAGTTAACATTCACTTGGAAAGCTACCTTAATTTTAATTGCATGAGAGAAGAGTATGGCTATCCCTGATAAATTGGAGAAAGTTGAGGATTATTCTTCTCTAAGTATATAAATGAGGTGGAAAACTCGTGAAAACAGTGTATTAAAGTTTCTTGAGGATTAGAAAGAATTATTAATATTTAAGGTAATCAGGTAATGATATTTTCAGGGAACTTATTAAAATGAATCTTAATGTCAAAAACTATATTTATCCAGAGCATTTAAGATTACACAGCCCAAAAAACTGAATTTTCCCCATTTTTCTGAGGCATTTTCTATGATTCTTGCCAAGTAAAATAATAGTGTGTTCTTTGTTTTTAAATTTACTGGGCATAGTGGGCATTTTTTGTTTATATTTTGTCACCCTAGACAACTTGTAGTCATCTCCTTAGCATGGTGCCTAGAATTTAGTAGTTGCTCAATAAGCTGCTTTTTTTTTTTTTTTTTTTAAATGAATGTTCAGGTGATTTGTAACTAGTAAATGAAGTACTCAGTCTTGAAGGTCTCTTCTGGTTTATTGATATGAATTCTGCCATGTCTTGATGGTTGTATGTGAGGGTAAGGTGGAATCGTGTATATATATATATAGAGTCTGTTTTATCCAAGACAGCATGTCTTCTGTGTTGAGTTGTTTTGTTTTTAATAGATCGGTATAGGAAATGCAAAAGTATCACTAGTGTAACCCCAAGACAAATGCTAAGAGTTGAGTTGTTTCTTAATGACCACATAGACAGCTGAACCATCAAGGGATTTCAGGACGCTAAAAAAGCAGTTAAATTACTCGTCTCCTACAGCTTCTTGAACTGGCCAAGGATGAGCTTTACCACTGAGTGTGTAAAGTAAAAGTCTGCTCAATCAATTTCTTAACTAAGAACTTGGTTTTGCTTCTCTCTAAACTGTAGCATATTCTGAAACTTGAGAAAAACCATTTGCCTAGCACAGCTGTTGACTTCCTACAACTGAAATGCTTTCCATTCCCTTTAAAATAAGCCCTTCTGATGCAGAATGTAGATCACATGTTTCACTCAGACCAAAAAAGTTTGCTGAGACTACTCTGGTCGTTTGCCCTGGGTCCGGAATCTTCGCATTCCAGGCAGAGCTCCAGCTGTTCGATTTAGTTACCCAGCTGGGATTGGCTCTGCTGCCTACTCTTTTCTCCACCCCTTCCCTTTCACTGGGAGAAAGTTCTTGAGCCAGATATTAAATGGAAGTGCTGTCACCAGGCTTCCTGAGTGCAGCTGGCACCATGGGTGTGCTCTAGAGCAACTTGTGTTTGCTCTGAGCCCCCTACCCTGCCTCCCCTTTCACCATGTTTCCTCTGGCAAGATGTTAAGTACAGCAATTCAAGAAGATTCCTCCTCCCAAACGACGTTATTCTGAAGTGTACTGCCTCTTGATTGCTGGAAAAGAATCTTAAATTCATTAAAAAGTAAACTAGGAACAAACTCATTAAAAGGAATGAAAGGACTATTGAAGTTGATTAGCACTAATTTTCCACTGTGCCAAAGTGTGCGGTGTCTTTCAGAGGAAACTATAGCAGATCTGGTGAGTGTGCCATGCCAGTGGGGAGAATTGAATGCCCCTCATCTCCCTCTTTCCCTAGGGACAGCAGTCATGAGTGCCGGGTGTGCGGGGTCACAGAAGTGGGTCTTTCCGCATATGCAAAGCATATTTCTGGCCAGTTGCACAAAGATAACATTGATGCCCAGGAAAGAGAAGATGATGGAAAGGGAGAAGAAGAAGAAGAAGATTATTTTGACAAGGAACTCGTCCAGTTAATAAAGCAAAGAAAAGAACAAAGTCGGTGAGTAATGATTTTGATTTTTTAAAAAAGCTTATCTGAAACAGGATAGTAGAGAATACCTTTTCCATTTCCATATTTGTCAGCCTATAGCATTCAGTCTTATCTTAGTTGTAAAGTTTAGCTCGAAGTTGCTGTCTTACACATAAAAGGGCAGTGGAATCCTTTCTTGAACTACTGTACTGTCTGCTTAAAAAAAACCCTCAGTGTTGTTCCTAATAAAGCTAGCTATTGCTGCTACATATCTCAAATTTTTACCATGTTGATAACTCTGTGTAGGACTATTTTTATTAGTTCCAAAGTTTTTGGTTATTAAAAATTATTTTTATTTGATACCCACATTTTCTTGTAGAAAAAGTATTAGTATATAAGCTTCATATGACTATTTTATATAATATTCTTATTGTATCCCTTAGGAAAAACTGTTTTGCCTAATTGAATTAACATGGTGCTTCTACCATATTTGATTTATGTTTTCATGTTTAAGTGCTTTAGTAAATATTTATTGACTAAATTTATCTTTTAAATTTGACAAGATCATTTCAGCAGTATAAGTTTTCCTGCTTGTACTACATAATTTCATACCTACATCTATGTTAATATATTAGGCTGTTTGTTGTATTTTAAAATTGCTGACTTGTGGTCTAAATACTTTAATTATTGAAGCAGAAATTTTCAGATATGAGTAAAAGAGAGAACCAGTTATGAGATGGGGTAATTTTGCAAGTCCTAGGGCATGATGAGAAACATTTCAAATTCTAAAATAAGATTTTAGAGATCCTTCTTGAGTACTAGTTATATCTGGTCTACCTTTCATTTTTAGTGAGAGGTTTGAATATAAAAAAGAAAGTAATTTTTACTCTACATGCTAAATGCTTTTTTGAACAAGTCCTTGAAGGAGACTTTCTTAGTTTTAAAATGTCAGTGGCAACTTGGTTCTTTAATTGTTCAGTCCTTCAAATGACATTCTCACTACTTTCAGTGTAGTGAAGTAGCTGTCCTTTACTCTTGTTTTATGGTGTTCGTAGAGCCTCTAGGAGACTAACTTCTATTTTGGTTATTACACTCTTGTGCCATTGTTAGCTTATCTGTGTAAATGATTAAACATTATGTCAGAGGGTAAAAGAGCTTCTCAGTAAATTCATGTTACAGGTAACTTCTAATTATTATAGTTAACTTCTAATCTCAAAGACATTAGAAGCTTTTAGAGCCAATTAAAGTCTGTGCTGAACCCGGCCTACATGGCTCATCGGTTGTGTGTTGACCTATGAACCAGGAGGTCACAGTTCGATTCCCGGCACATGCCCGGGTTGCGGGCTCTATCCCCACTTGGGTATGTGCAGGAGGCAGCTGATCAATGATTCTCTCTCATCATTGATGTTACTGTCTCTCCATCTCTCTTCCTTTCTGAAATCAATAAAAATATATTTTTAAAAAATAAAGTCAGTACTGAGTTTAAGATTCATGTCAAGTTCAGAACAGGTGACCCAACTACAGAAACTTTGTTTTGGGATATTCATTCTATCAAGGCCTAGTGGCTGAGTGGAGACTCTAGAGTCAGACTGCCAAGGTCCAAATCTCTGTCATACCACTTACTCTCTGTGCTATTCTGGACAAGTTACTTCTCCAATCCTCAGTTTCCTCAGCTAAAAAGTAGGAATAATAAGAATGTTTGTTTCAGAGTTGTGAAAATTAAATGCCTGACAATTAGTAGGTACTCAGTAAATTTTATCTAGTATTACTCAATTTTTTGAGCACCTTCCATATGCTAAGTACTATGCTAGGCATACCATAGGAAGTTTGTAGAGGATATAATTTTATACATATTCCTGTGATGTTTCCTTAAATTTAATTCCATTTCTGTGGGCTTCTTGACTAACATGAATAGTTCATACAGCTGTAGCTTCTTTATAAAAACCTCTAGGACATGGAATGCCTTATAGCACTCATTGTGGGTGCTGCTTATTTGTTTTGTGCTATTTTACTCTGTGACCTTATTTTGTCAACTAGGTTGTAAGCCCTTCAGGAATAGAAACAGTGCATAAAAGTTTTCATTCTCCACTAATAGTCATTGAATGTGTGCTTGGTAAAGTGTTTATTTTTTTATTTTTTAAAATATATTTTATTGATTTTTTACAGAGAGGAAGGGAGAGGGATAGAGAATTAGAAACATCGATGAGAGAGAAACATTGATCAGCTGTCCCCTGCACACTCCCCACCGGGATTGTGTCCGCAACCAAGGTACATGCCCTTGACTGGAATTGAACCTGGGACCCTTGAGTCCTCAGGCCGACGCTCTATCCACTGAGCCAAACCGGTTAGGGCATAAAGTATTTATTAATGAACATGGTTATGCATAGTAAAATCTTGCCATTTAAAATAGGTTAAGAAACTGGTTTTTTTCCAGAAAGAACCAACAACTGGAGAAATAATAATATTAAGACCAGCTGAACTTAAATTGTATTAATTATGATAACTAACCATAGCTGCAAAATATAATTGTTTTTATTTTCAAAATGCTGGCCCTGACCAGCAACTACTATTAAAAATAAAAATGGCCGAAACCGGTTTGGCTCAGTGGATGGAGCGTCGGCCTGCGGACTGAAGGGTCCCGGGTTCGATTACGGTCAGGGGCGTGTGCCTGGGTTGCGGGCACATCCCCAGTAGGAGATGTGCAGGGGGCAGCTGATCGATGTTTCTCTCTCATCGATGTTTCTAGCTCTCTGTCTACTCCCTTCCTCTCTGTAGGCGATCAATAAAATATATTTTTAAAAAAATTAAAAATAAAAGTAAAAATGGACTCTATATTATAAAATAGTCTAAGTAACAGGGGAGGAAGGTTGAGGGGAAGTTTGGTGGGTTATGCCTTTAAAGGAAGTAAAAGAATTCCTTTAAATCAGTAATGAAAAACTTTTTCTTTCAGACAAGATGAACCTTCCAGTGGCAGCCAAGAAATAAAATCTGATGACAGGCAGCTCCAGCGGAGACGAGAAGACAGAATTCCTTACCAAGACAGAGAGAGCTACAGCCAGCCAGCATGGCACCATCGGGGACCTCCTCAGCGGGATTGGAAGTGGGAGAAAGATGGCTTTAGTAATACGAGGAAAAACAACTTTGCACATTCTTTGAGGAATGGTGCTGGACCAAGAGGGTGGCATAAGGGTGTTGCAGGAGGCTCCTCAACTTGGTTTCATAACCATAGTAATTCTGGAGGTGGTTGGCATTCAAATAATGGAACAGTAGATTGGAATCACAATGGTACAGGAAGGAATTCCAGCTGGCATTCTGAAGGAACAGGTGGCTTTTCCAGTTGGCATGTGAACAGCAGTAACGGAAACTGGAAATCCAATGTACGCAATACAAATAGTTGGAATTACAGTAGTCCTGGAGACAAATTTCAACCAGGCAGAAACAGAAATTCTAACTGTCAAATGGAAGACATGGCTAAGCCATGGAACAAGAAATCCAAGTCAAACAAATACAATCAAGAGAGATATAAATGGCAGCGGCAAGAAAATGACAAAGTTAGTACAGTTGCCACATACAGAGGTCCTTCTAAAGGATATACAAGTGATAAATTTTCTTCACAGATCTTATTTGACTTTAATTTTGAGCAGCCAGAAAGCCAAACCGCTAAGCAGACAGAGACCATAGCTTCCAAAATTGGTGGGAAGAACGGCAGTGTCGCAAGGGAAAAGCACCATCGCTGGACTCCTTACCCGTCCCAGAAGGCTCTGGATTTACAATCGGGAATGAAAGACGTTACTGGGAACAAGTCAGAAATGATAGATAAGCCTTTGTTTGATTTTACTTTAATCCAAGGAACACAAGCATCCCAAATTGATGAAACAAATAATTCCCCAACATTGAAAACACAAAAAGAAACACATACTGGATCTCTTAATCACAAAGCCACTTCTGAGCAAGCGTATAACTTAAATAAGATGCCATCATTAAAATCCCCACTTCTTCCAATTCCAGTCACTAAATCAGTCCCTCAAAAGCAAGATTCAAAGAATCCCGCAAAAAACACCAAAGCGAATTCTTTTTTTCCTGGAAAACATTCAAATTCCTTAAACAAACACAAGGGGGAAGACAATCATGGCTCTTCTTACAGGTCCAAATTGCAAAGTTCATGTCCTCGTGTTTTAAAAGGGAATAAAAGCAGATTTGGCACTCAGAGGGAATCTGATGAAAATTTAAGTGATACACTACAAAAAGCCAAAGAGGTGCTACAGTTTCATGAGTCATTGCAAGATCCACTTCTTAGCACTTCTAAAAGGACCAGGAACTATGACAAAGCAAGTAGGAATGTAGAAGAGTCTGAAAAAGGATCTTTGAAGATTGAGTTTCAAGTACACTCATTAGAAGATGAGAGTGATGGAGAAATATCTGACGTGGAAAAGCATGGAACAAAAATTGGAACCCTGGATTCTGCAACTACAGAAGTCTTATCCTGCAGCACCCAAAATGCTGACGAGAAAGAGGGAGAGCACCACAACCTGAAAACACCTAGAAAACTATCCACTTCCCCATGCGAGTCAGTAGTTCACCAGAAAGAATCTGAGTTACAAATGACATCTGTAGCCAGTCCACACTCTGGCTTACTACTGGACTTAAAAGCCTCTCTAGAAGATGGACAGGTTGATGAGTCTGTTAAGTCTCGTGTATCTTATGAAACAGAGGGCTTTGAGAGCACTAGCTTGGACGCAGAGCTTCAAAAGAGTGATATAACTCAGCCCTCAGGCCTTCTCCTGCCTGAACTAAGTAAGCTTGGCTTTCCTGCGTCGCTCCAAAGAGATCTCACCCGGCACATTAGTTTGAAGAGCAAAACTGGAGCACACCTTCCTGAGCCAAACCTCAATAGTGCTCGCCGCATTCGCAACATTAGTGGCCATCGAAAGAGCGACACAGAGAAGGAGTCTGGGCTCAAGCCAACTCTCCGGCAGATTCTAAATGCATCTCGGAGAAATGTCAACTGGGAGCAGGTCATTCAGCAAGTAACCAAGAAAAAGCAAGAGCTAGGCAAAGGCTTACCCAGGTATGTGCTGCTTTTCAGTGTCCGTTTCTCTCCAAGTTTACCCTTTGACCCAGGTCAGGAGAAGAATTCTTGTTACATTTAATTAAATGTTTGCAAAAAATATGTGTGCCCTGGCCTGGTAGCTCAGTTGATTAGAGCGTCGTTCTGATACACCAAAGTTGTGGGTTCAATCTCTGGTCAGGGCACATAAAAGAATCAACCAATGAAGGCATAAATAAGTGGAACAACAAATCAGTGTCTCTCTCTCTCTCTCTTTCTCTCCCCCTCCCTCTTCTTTTCTCCCCCCCTCCCTTCCTCTAATAATCAATTTTTTAAAATGTGTTGTGAATGTTGGGTTTAATTATCAGAGAGTGACTGCTACTCTATGACAAATGGAATAAAGTGTTTCCCAGCAGGAAATTCAGGTTAAAAAGAAGAACACTACTTCTGAGAAATGATGTGGGGACATAGTAAAAAAAAAAAAAAATCAGAAATCCCGCACTTTGGTTTTAGGGGCCAGAAAGTAACAGCATTAAAAAGTATATAAATCTGATTCTTATCTATAGATCTTCATTGAGTGATGCTACTTTAAGTTTACGGTTCTCATTCTCTTTTACTTAGAATCTTTACCCTCTTGTATTTACTCTGGGCATTATAAGTGTGATCACAAAGTATTCTCTCTTAAGTACTTGCGTAATAATTTGGCTAATCATCTGGTGTTGAGGTACGAAACTTTCTGAATGGTAAAGCAGCATTCAACACAGATTTGCTACTTGAACATCACCCTGCTGATTACAGTTATATAGCTCTCCCAGTTTGAATTTCTATCCTTATTGAAGTAATGTATTTATTGTACCCCCTTTTCCTTTCCCATAACTTGAGATTACAAATATAAAGCTCTGCCTGGCCGGTGTGGCTCAGTTGGTTGAGCATCATCGTGTGCACAGTTCAATTTCCTGTCAGGGCACATACCCAGTCGGGGTGTATACAGGAGGCAACTGATTGATATTTCTCACATTGATGTTTCTCTCACTCCTTCCTCCTCCTCTCTCTAAAAAATCAGTAAGACATTCAACAACAAAAAACAAATATAAAGTTCTTAGTATAATGTCTGACATTTGTGAATGCTTAATAGACATTTCTGTTTGTTTTGGTTTGTTATTAAAATTATGTACTTGTTGGTTTCAAGCTCCATATGAAATAAAAACCTCAATTTTTACTTTCTCATATTCTCATCGCTGTATGCTAATCTCTAATTTAGTAACAATTGCTAATTTAGACATACTTCTCTCTGTGTCTTGCTTTACAATACTTATAATACAAAACTCATACTGTGGTTATTTACGTAAAGCTTTCAGACTGAGCTCCTCGCGGGCCGAACCATCTTATTTATGTTTGTCATTTCAGTGCATAGCAGAGGCTGGAACGTGAAGTGGTGCTCCCTTCTCTCAACCACGTTGGATTTATGATCTTTTCTTTCTTTCTTAAGGTTTGGCATAGAAATGGTGCCTCTAGTTCAAAATGAACAAGAGGTCTTGGATTTGGATGAGGAGCCTGATCTGTCCAATCTAGAAGGATTCCAGTGGGAAGATGTGTCCATTTCTTCATCTCCTGGATTGGCAAGGAAACGAAGCCTTTCTGAGAGCAGTGTGATCATGGACAGGGCTCCTGCGTATAGCTTCTTCAGTGAGGAAAGTGCAGGCAAAGAAAATGAGCCCCAGCAGATTTTTACACCTAGTAACTCATCGAGGGCTGCACAGAGTCCAAAAACAACCGTGGGCCTTAAGCAGGAAGTGACACCTCTGGCCGCCTCCCTCAGAACAGGTGAAAGGGCTGAAAATGTTGCTCCTCGAAGGCGGCACAGTGCACAGTTACTTTCTGACTGTGCAAAATCTTTGATTCATTTGACAAAAGACCTGAACAGCCAGGAGAGTTCTGGACCACCTTCAGAGAATCCGAATGCCAAGGAGAGTAATGGAGAAGGGAACTCTTTAACATCATGTGCATCCTCAGCTCTTGCAGGCTCTAATTTGGCAGATGCAGGCACAGATAGTAGCTGTACCTCTGGTGCTGAACAAAATGACGGTCAGAACATTAGAAAGAAACGAAGAGCCACTGGAGTGAGTATGATTTTCTGTGCCTTTTGTAGAACATTTTATGTGGTGACTTGGATGTTGTAAGAAAGATTTAACGGTTTAATTTTTCTTGGGTGTCCAGGGTTGTGGTTCTGCCTACTCTGGCCTAGAAGACTTGTGAGGTTCTTACTCTTGCTTTCAGATTATTCTACTGGTTTCTTTCACTGAGTAATTCTACTAACTTTGATGTAATTGAATATGATTGTACAGTACTAGGAAAATATGAAGTCATCTCTAAAATTAGTCATCAAGCCAATCATTTTCTATCACCTGACAAGGAGTAAGCCACATCTTCAGCTGTAACTTTATCTGTTTCCATGATGCATTCTGTACAGCTGCTGAAGAAAGGCACTCTAGTGTTGCCTTCGGAGGGCATACAGGCTTGTTGGATCTAGGAGTTTTAGGCTTAACATCAAGTTTTAATGCTAATAGAGTGCATCTATATGAGCATAGTCTTAGAAATATTTGTAGTCTCCGTTACTCTATCTTTCGTACTTCATTCATCCAGCATGGCCTTTCAGAATCCGTTCCTTCACTGACACCACTTCTGTTCTGGCATCTCTGTTGCTAATACTGCTTAACCCTTTCAGAAACCCTTTTTGAAAAGAAAGAATTGTGACGGTAATACAGTCTGGAATCTAGCACTGTGAGAAAATGGGCTATTTCCTTTAATACTGAGGCAATATAATATAACAGAGCGAATAAGGGCTTGGGCTGTAGGCCTGGATTCACATTCCAGCTCTGCCCCCCTTTGAGCTAGATACTGTAGTTGGGTGAGAGATTGTTCTATGACAAAGCCAATATCTTAGGGCTTGTCTCAATAGACTGTTTAGCTTTTCATTGTGAATATTTTAATCTGAAATTTAAAGTAGAAACTGCCACGATGAAATCAGATAGATGTGTCACTGGTTTTGTCCATGCTTCTCGGTCTTGCTCTGCCGGGGAGAGAAATGCTTTGCCCTGCCCTGTGGGCTTCACTGCCTCTAAAATGCTATAAAGGTACTTGACCTCAGATTTAAAAAAAGATCATATGTATATGTTTATTCAGCTAATATTGTAGTTCATATCATGTACAGGATACTTCTATTACTGTCCTGTCAGTGATGGAAAAAATAATAAAGAATATTGTATAACTATCTCAGAACTAATTCTTTTTTTCCCCTTCTGGATAATGGCCATTATATATTTAATATTATTCAATTTTCTGTATTTCCTCAGGATGGATCTTCTCCTGAACTCCCAAGTCTTGAGAGAAAAAATAAAAGAAGGAAAATTAAAGGAAAGAAAGGTATAGTGCAGAATATTCTGGCAGAAGGAAATTGTTCTTTTAGCAATTCAACCTTTTTACAACTTCACATAGTATAGTTTGTGGTTTTCAAACACTGATCGCCCATTTATTATTTTTTTTTACATTTTTTTTTAAAAATATATTTTATTGATTTTTTACAGAGAGGAAGGGAGAGAGATAGAGAGTTAGAAACATCGACGAGAGAGAAACATCGATCAGCTGCCTCCTGCACATCTCCCACTGGGGATGTGCCCACAACCAAGGTACATGCCCTTGACCGGAATTGAACCTGGGACCCTTCAGTCCTCAGGCCAACGCTCTATTCACTGAGCCAAACCGGTTTCGGCTTTTTTTTACATTTTTGTTGTCTTGCTTAGTGCATGGAAAAGTTTGATTTTCTACTATATACATAACATACAGTTGCATCTGTAGGAGAAATACATGATGCCACATATACCTGTAAGCTAAAGTTAATATATATCTTGGACAAATTGAGTCCAATATAAAAACAGAAAGTCTCATTGGGCCTTTTCAATGGGATGAAGAGGAACAGGCCTTCAGTAAATTTTTGTCCATTTTGGTCATTTATCCATTTCTTTCAGTCTTCATTTTTTATGAATCTTGGTTGCTTTTCTCGTGTGAATTGAGGAGAGAAGTTTTTAAGGTGGCTCTCTGACTGGTATGCTTCTTCAGCGCTTGCTTTACACTGACTCCAACCCTGATCCAGTATGAGAGCTAGTGCGGGAAGTGATTGAAAGAGTCTTGGGTGATTGGAAGTGATGTGTAAGGTAGGAGTCAAGGATGACCCCAGTTTCTAGTTGGGGCAACTGTGTGGATGGTGACATCATTTGTAGAGCTAGGAAACTCCATGAGGAGCAGGTTAAGAATAGAGGAAGATGATGAGTTCCCTTTTGGATCCTTTGAGTTAAAGGACCTCAGAGCCCGGCTGGTGTAGCTCAGTGGTTGAGCGTCAATTCATGACCCAGGAGATCACAGTTCGATTCTCAGTCAGGACACCTGCCCAGATTGCCGGCTCGATTCCAGTAGGGGGCGTGCAGGAGACAGTCCATGAATGATTCTCTCATCATTGATGTTTCCGTCTCTCCTCCCTTCCTCTCTCTGAAATCAATAAAAACATATTTTATTTATTTATTTTTAAAAAGGACCTTATAGACACCTAGGTAGAGATATCAAGTTGGTAGTTAGGTATGTGAGTCTGGTTTAGGAAAGAGGTCCTGGCATATTGAATGGGGAAGAGACAAACAAAGGTGACAAATATATACAATGGGGCCTTGACTTACGAGTTTAATTCATTCCGGGACCGATCGTTAACTCAAATTACTCTATCAACTCAATGCAAAAAATCCCCCGAGAGACAGCTGGTATCTCAAAAAACTCGTTAGTCGGGACACTCGTAAGTCAAGGTCCCACTGTACATATAGTAGAACATTTTATTTAAAGTAACTAAAAAGTTTGATTTTCTGCTGTAGTAATGGAAACGTTTGCTACAGCTCCTTCAGGCAGATTTCTCTAATAAACATAACTATGTTAACTAACAGACTAGAAAAATGTGGATTGGGAGGAGAGTGCAAGCAGAACAGATCTGGGGTCCAATCTAAGCAAAGCCCGGGGTGAAGAGGGTGGTAGATAAAGGAAACTGCAACAGTGGATTTGCTTGGGACAGAGATTTCACCGAAGGGTAGTGGTGGAAAATGGTTATTAGGTAAGATGGTACCACCTGGTGGTACTCCTGAACCTTGGAGGCACCTTCATCTTACCAATTCTCACTTTTGGTTTCCAGCTCTGACAGCAACTGACTTGACTATATGATTTGTGAGATTCAATGAGTCTGTGGTACCTATTGGGAGAAATAAAGGCTTATCCTAGATACTGATGTAGTTCCATGTTCTGAGGAGCTGTATTAGTAAATAAATATTGAAGAGGAGTCTCCATTACTAAACAAGCCTATGGTTTCTTCTGGCAGAACGTTCGCAGGTCGACCAGCTGCTGAGTATTTCTTTAAGGGAGGAAGAACTAAGCAAGTCGTTGCAGTGCATGGATAACAACCTTCTGCAAGCCCGGGCAGCACTTCAGACAGCTTATGTGGAAGTTCAGAGGCTTCTTATGCTCAAGCAGCAGGTAACAGCAGGTGGAACATTTAATGAAAATGGATAATCTCTGAAATTGGATTTGAAAATTCATGACAAAATACTTTATTTTTAGATAACTATGGAGATGAGTGCACTGAGGACCCATAGAATACAAATTCTACAGGGATTGCAAGGTATTCGGATTGGGCCCTCTGTAACTTTTTTTTTTTTTTCTCTTTAGAGGGGAATTGAAATAGTCATTAAAAAAAATCATACGATTTCTCTCATGTCTCTTTGGTTTCATTCTCCTACGGAAAGGCCTGTAAGACTGTACATCCATCCTCAAAATGCTTAGCAATTGAGACAGTATATTATAGAAGGAGCCTTGGGTTAGGAATCAAAACACTTGCGTTCAAATCTTGGCTCTTCTATTAGTATCTATATGACCTTGGATAAGTCACTTAAAATCTGAAAAATTAGATTATTAATGCCTATTCTGTCTGTATCCTTGATGGTTTTGTAGATATATGACAGTCTATTTGGAAGAATTAGGAGAGTCTTTAAATTCTTGTATGATCTTTAAAAATACATATTGGCTAAGAAACAAGTGACTTTTCAGATAACATTTTTGCTTTTGTATATATGTATTCCATTTCAGAAACATATGAACCTGCTGAACGCCCATACCAGGTTCCCTGTAGCCTTCCGCGAGAACAGAGGAGCAGTAGATCTCAAACATCTGCTGATGCCACGCTGCTGCCTACTCCCTTCTTCCCAGTTTTTCTGGAGCCTCCATCATCCACAGGAGTCCCTTGCCAAGTACCCACATCTCCTACTTTCCAAGCCCATGGCAGTGTTCCTGCTCCGGACTCATCGATTCAGATTAAACAAGAACCTATGTCTTCTGAACAAGAAGGTAATGTGAATGCTGTGTCACAAGGGTCTCCTTGCAGTGTGTCCAAGGAATTGCTGCAAGGTAATAGTGTGTAAATTTTTCTCTTAATTAAGGGGCAACCCTGTAATGGGCAATTTTATATCAGTGATGTAAAGTTATACTTGTTCATTAAACTGAAGTTAATACAATTAACTTTTCTTAAGGTTTTCTTCATTCAGGTTAATTATTTAAATATCAATAACTTTTCCTTAATTTTCTCTAATATAGAATTACTTACTTGATTTTGTATTAGCACCTAAAAGGTTCCATTTATTGGATGGGTGCAGAATTATTTAGTTCTGGGGTGATAAATAAGGTTGATGTTGTTCAGTCAGATAAGATATTTTCTCTGAATTTCTTAGCACTTGATTGTCTTTATCACTTAAAGTACAAGCCAGGGTTAATATAAACCTGGGAAACCTGGTAGCCATGATGAAAGGTAGAGGGGGCTCCGGGGTTTAGAATCATCTAATAGGAACTTGAATGGTTTTGAGAAATAGCCAAGGTTTTTAGTTTCAGTATTTACATAAAATAACACTCACTTGGTTACCATTTGAAAATAACTTCTGAGCAACTTAAAATATTACTTGAAGTTTGTATAACCACAATGGTGCTGTGTTAATAGTTAAGTAAAAAGTAAACAAACTGGCATTGTGTGATTTCTTAAGCCAAAATAAAAATTCTGAAGAATTATTCTATTTCTCTACCTGTTGCAACACTAATTTAGATATCTGTATCAAATGTATATTGTCTTTCATATTGAATTTTGTTACTTTTATATGGATGATATTTAGTGTTTTCTTTAAAAAACTAGTAATAAGGCCAAAACCGGTTTGGCTCGGTGGATAGAGCGTCGGCCTGTGGACTGAAGGGTCCCAGGTTCGATACCGGTCAAGGGCATATACCTGGGTTGCAGGCACATCTCCAGTAGGAGGTGTGCAGGAGGCAGCTGGTCAATGTTTCTCTCTCATCGATGTTTCTAACTCTCTATCCCTCTCCCTTCCACTCTGTAAAAAATCAATAAAATATATTTTAAAAAAATAAAAAATAAAAAAACCCAAAAAACTAGTAATAAGAAATATAGTGATCTTTTAAACTAATTTTTAAAAAGCAACTTTAAGTAGATTTTTTTTTTCTGATTGTAAAACTAGTTTATGTTGTCCTGGCTGGTGTGCTTGGTTGAACGTCATCCCATGCACCAAGAGGTTGCCGATTCGATTCCTGCTCAGGGCACATGTCCAGGTTATGAGCTTGATCCCCAGTGAAGGTGGCAATTGATGCTTCTCTCTCTTATTGATGTTTTCTCTCTCTTCATCTCCTTTCCTCTCTCTCTCTAAAATCAATTTAAAAATTTAAGAATAAAAAACCCTCTAATTTATGTACATTGTAAATAATTGGGAAACTAGAAATCGAAATATGTTATACATATAGGGTATCCCCCAAAAATGTATACACTCACCTAATTTTCACTCCTTTTCAGGTTTTACTGATTTGAAGCCAGACTAAGCTTTGAACAAAGAAAATTTATCCTAAAGTGCCACTAGACTTTTTTTTTTAATGGAGATACATAAAAGATAAAACCAGCAACAGTCAATGGATTGAGGATGCACAAATACTTGTGCATGAAACAATTCTTGATGTTTGCGATTCCATTGCTTTGCGTTTTCAGCAATGCCTGGACCAGAACTGTCACCAGTTTGAAGACAGTCATTAACAAAAAAATTATTCATTTCTGTAGATTCTTTTAAATTTTGAAAATGAACTGTATATTAATAAACACTGACTTTATAATCATTCAAAGTGTGTATACATTTTTTTGGGACAACCTGTATTATTTCAGTCTTTTTTATGATAGAGTAGGGAAGAGTTTTTAAAAAAATATGTTTTTTATTGATTTTAGAGAGAGAGGAAGGGAGAGGGAGAGAGGAGAGAAACATCAGTGTGAGAAACATGGATCGGTTTCCTCCCACATACACACCCCAACCAGGGACCAAACCTGCAATGCGGGTATGTGCCCTGACCAGGAATTGAACCGGCTACCTTTTGGTGCATGGGATAATGCTCAAACAACTGAGCCATACTGGCTAGGGCTTTCAGTCTTTTTTTAAATCTTACATGTTTGTGTTTACATGTAGACTTATACAAAGGACAAATTGTAGTCCGTTATAACTTTTGGCTTTTTTCCATTTAGTATGTCATGATCATTTCCCCATGTCATAAAAATAATTCATCTAAAATATTTTATTTTACTAGTTGCATAATATTTGAGAAATTGCATAATAATCTGGATGTGCAATTTATATAATCTCCTTTGAATGTTTAGTTTTTTTTCCCCTTGTTTTTAGGATTCTGTGTAACATTATGTTATATATGTCTTTGAGTATGTGATTATTTTATCAGTTTAAATTTATAGACATGAAATAACTTAAGTCAAAGAAAATAGACATTTTTAAGTCAACTGACTTTTTAAAAAAATATATATTTTATTGATTTTTTTACAGAGAGGAAGGGAGAGGGATAGAGAGTTAGAAACATCGATGAGAAAGAAACATCGATCAGCTGCCTCCTGCACACCCCCTACTGGGGATGTGCCCACAACCAAGGTACATGCCCTTGACCGGAATCGAACCTGGGACCCTTCAGTCCGCAGGCCGACGCTCTGTCTACTGAACCAAGCCGGCTAGGGCTCAGCTGACTTTTTAACTACTAGTATGTAGTTAAACTGGATGATGTACAGGTAAAATGCATAGTGAAAATTAAGAAATGCACTTCAGTTAAATAGATACTTTAGTGTCTGCTAAGAATAGAACATGATGTTCAGTATGTGGATATTTCAAATAAGAAGCAAGGAAAAAAGATTGATAGAAACAATCCTGCCATAAGGAGCTTTTGCAGGGTATAAAACATGCGTGTTATTTGTGAGATTGAGCAAGGCAAAGTGTACTAAGTTCTGAAATGGACACTTATGTTGGTTATGGGAAATTGAGGGGTGAGAGAACAGCTTTAAAAGCCATGGTTTAATATGTCATTGAAATTTCATTAATTGTTAGAAATTCAACCAGTAACAAATAATTGCAGTTTATGACTATAAATAGCAAACACAAAAGGTGCCATCATTTTTTTCTTCTCTCCTCAGGAGAGGTCAGTGACCGCCGTTCAGTCGATGCATCCCTCACTGCACCGTTGTCCTTGTCAGAGCCAACAGAAAATTTCCATGAGCCCAGCCGAGAACTGAGGCTTTCTGTGGAGCAAGGAAGTACCAAAAATGGGGAAAATGTTCTCTCGTCCCAATCAGCTGGTCTTCCTAGCATAAATAAAGAAGGTGAAGAGCCAACCAAAGGCAACAGCGGGTCTGAAGCCTGTACCAGTTCTTTTCCAAGATTGTTCTTTGCTTCAGAAACCTCTTTAGAGAAGGAATCCCTCTCCCTCGCTGACCAGCCTGAGCAAGCAGAGTCTACTCTGACATCAGCTGGAACGCGGGGGAACAAGAAAAAGAAGAAACTTAGGAAGAAGAAGACTCTGCGAGCCGCCCATGTGCCCGAGAACAGTGACACCGAGCAGGATGTATTTACTGCTAAGCCTGTGAGGAAAGTGAAAACTGCAAAGTCAGCCAAAGGAGGGAAAGTAACAACCTCCACCTGGGAAGATAGCAGAACTGGACTTGAACAAGACAGTGTCCGGGATGAGCCAGACAGTGACTCCTCTCTGGAAGTCCTGGAACTTCCTAACCCTCAGTTAGAAGTAGTGGCCATTGATTCCTCGGAATCTGGAGAGGAGAAGCCAGACAGCCCATCGAAGAAGGATATTTGGAACTGCACAGAGCAACACTCATTAGAAACTTCTCGTTCTGGTTGTGATGAAGTTAGCTCTACCAGTGAGATTGGCACTCGCTATAAAGATGGTATCCCTGTAAGGTAGGGATGTTGTATTGGTCCAATCAGAACAGTCTCACCTTTCTTTTATTTTTTTAATTCTCACTCGAGGACATTTTTCCGTTGATTTTTAGAGAGAGAGGAAGAGAGAGGGAAAGACAGAAAAATATCGATGTGAGAGAAACACACTGATTGGTTGCCTCCTGCACGCACCCCAACCAGGGCCCGAGCCGGGGAGGAGGCTGCAACTGAGGTACGTGCCTTTGCCCGGAGTCAATCCTGGGACCCTTTGGTCTGCTGGCCTACACTCTATCCACTGAGCCAAACCGGCTAGGGCCATTCTTCTTCTCTCTTTTTTTTTTTTAAATATATTTTATTGATTTTTTACAGAGAGGAAAGGAGAGAGATAGAGAGTTAGAAACATCGATGAGAGAGAAACATCAATCAGCTGCCTCCTGCACATCTCCTACTGGGGATGTGCCCGCAACCCCCGGAATCGAACCTGGGACCTTTCAGTCCGCAGGGCGACGCTCTATCCACTGAGCCAAACCGGTTTTGGCCATTCTTCTTCTCTTAAAAAAAAAAAAAAAAAGAACTTTTTGTTATGACTCAGAATTTTTAAAAGAATCAAATTTATAGAGAATCTGTAGGCATTGCAGATGTGGAAGACTCAAAAACTTGGCAGTGGAGATTTGCTGCTTTCTCATTTGTGTTATAAATATTTACTGTACTTTTATTTCCTTCCATATAGAAATTTCAGATGGAAAATGATCTCATCATTGCTACTTTGCCCATTGATTAGAACAATACTTTGAGTCAGGAAAATTTAGGTTTTACTACCTGTCCTATTCACACAGATGCTAAGAAGACTTTTGCTATTGTTTTGTAGTGTGGCAGAAACTCAGACCGTGATCTCCTCCATAAAAGGATCGAAGAACTCTTCAGGTATTTGGTTGTTCTGTTTTATTTAAATTACCACAGAGAAAAGCTTTGTAAATGTTAGAGCCAGGGTTTAAATCTACTTAAATATACTTATAGAATAGGGGGTAGGAGTTAGCACCAAGAGGATTGCTTTGACAAGCAGTTACTGTATTCCTAAATCCTCAAATCCTTCTTTTCAGTTTCTTACGCCCATCTCTCTTACCTGGCTCTCTTATCTATTCATTTATTTAGTATTAAGGTTTCATTGGCTCCAGGGGATTTTGCTTTGAGACAGAACTGCTTAAAGAATAATGCCGCCCTGGCCGGGTAGCTCAGTTGGTCAGAGCATTGTCCTGATACATCAAGAATAATGCCTTGCTCAGTGAAACAACTGTATGTGAAGATATTTGGTGCCTTTCCATTATCACTCAAAAACTCATACAAGTATCATTTTCTTAAGTGAAAGGCCTTCCCTGCTTTCTCTTACTATGAAATCTTCATAATGAAGATCTTAATGAAAACTGTGGTATTTTTAATGGGAACTAGACTCTAAGGAGAACTCAGGGGCCACCATGTTATGTAATGGTTTTAATGTTTGAGTATCTTTTCAGACACAGTGGACATGTTTCTGAAACATATTCTTGTTTTCTAGAAATATCTTCAGAGCCAGGAGATGATGATGAGCCCACAGAAGGGAGTTTTGAGGGGCACCAAGCTGCAGTGAATGCAATTCAGATATTTGGGAATTTGCTCTATACCTGTTCAGCAGATAAAACTGTGCGAGCTTATAATCTGGTGGTAAGTTGATACAGCAGTTTGAATGCTTTTGGTAGTTGCAGGTTTTAGAAACTCCAACTCAGCAATAGGGGAATTTATCTGCTGTCTAGGTATGGGTGGGATTTAGACTAACTTTAGATAAAGTTGGTCCAGCTGCTCCACAGGGTCCCTGGGAGCTTGATTTTATTCTGTCTCTCCACTCTACCTTCTTCGTATCACCTCTTCCTAAGGTGTTCTCCTCCTGCTCACAAATAGATCCAGGAACTGCTGGGGTTTCTTTTTCCTCCCACCACCAAACAAGGGTCTCGTGCATTATTCCCTGAATAAGCACTTGGTACTTGGCAAAGGAAGGTGGGATTACAACAGTGGATGTGGGCTAGTCAGATCCCTGGAGTTTGTGATGAGGTCAGTTGCATGACTGCTATATAATAGGGCAGTAAAAAGAATACTGGGGAAGTATTAGAGGAGGCATTTTCCCTGATAGTTGATTAGTTGTGCAAGTTATTAAAGAGAGCAGCAGTCTTCCACTACACATACTTAGTATAATCTCATGCCCATTTCTCTGAATTTTCATAGAATGAATTTTTGAGTGTTGAATTTGGTATATGTTAAACTAAATCTGTTTATCAATAATGATAGCCAAGAAACTTTAGGAACACTGTGTTGTCTGAACAAACTGTGAAAGTATTTAAAATTGTTGAAGTCCTGAAAAATCAAAAGGTTAGATGATGGAACAAGAAAATGTGTTTGCTGTAGGCAATAAGTATATAGGTTTCTTTAACCTAATAACCTGAGGGGCTAAAGGAATGATCGAAGGAAAGAAGCAATGGTACCAGGAAGTATGAGTGTAAGGTTTGGGGGATTGGCTCTAACTCTGAATTGCAGAATAAGTATATGTAAAGGGTGTCCCAGAATTCACGCAAGAAGTAATTTTGATAGAAAGCACAGGTTTATAATTAAAAATTATAAATTTTTTATTGATTCATAAAGTATACAGTATAGGGTTATGTATGGAATAGCATATCGGGTAAATGGCCTCCACGGCTTTGCTGGCACATACGCACTCTTTTGTTATTGCCTGAGCAACCGCATTTTCGAAGAAGATGGTCCGATGATGCCTCCAACCCAAAATCCGCACCAAACAGTGACATGTTGTGGATGCAATTGTTTCTCAACAATCACTCGTGGATTTTCTGAACCCCAAATGCAACAATTTTGACGATTAACCAAGCCATCAAGATGCAAATGAGCCTCATTGAAATTCAGCCACATTTATGCAAAAACAGTCATGGAAAATTTCAACAAAAGAGTGCGTATGTGCCAGCAAAGCCGTGGAGGCCATTTATCCGATATGCTATTCCATACATAACCCTGTACAGTATACTTTATGAATCAATAAAAAATTTACAATTTTTAATTATAAACCTGTGTTTTCTATCAAAATTACTTCTTGCATGAATTTTGGGACACCCTTTATATGTGTATATTCTAAATAGATCTCAGAGATAGCACAGATAACTATTAGGCCGTCCCCTTATGAAACCATACCTGGACCACTGGGACCTGTGATGACACCTGACATGTCTTAGATGATTATGGAGCATTTTCATTAGCTACTGAATCAAATGCAGGGATTTGCCTGGGTAATTAGCCTCAGTTTGGATTTGGTAGATCTTTGGTCTATGTGTTGGACAGCCTTGCCCTAGGCATTAATTAAAATTCTTACCAACCTTATAGTGAATTGCCCTAAGTATTTTTTGGTATAACTCAGCTAATATAGTTGGAAGTACCTTACTGCATGTGACCATTTGCTGGGCATTATTGATCACATGTTTACTGAACACTGTTTGTGAACCAGGCACTTTCCTAGGTACTGAGGATGCAGCAGCAAACTATTATGTTCTAGCGTTTTTTTGTTGAGGAAAGGCAGTATCTGGTCCTTCTATACCCATAAGTAATAATCTGATCTGTGCTTGACTTTAGACTCGGAAGTGCATTGGTGTCTTTGAGGGCCATACTTCGAAAGTGAACTGCCTCCTGGTTACTCAAACCTCTGGGAAGAATGCTGCCCTTTACACTGGTTCCAGTGATCACACCGTTCGCTGCTATAATGTTAAGGCAAGTGGGTTCAGAGAAATCAAAACTGATAATATTGACCGGCTTTGACTGTATTTATACTATGTAGAGTGGAGACGTTGAGACAGATGCTTCTTTCTTCCCACTTTCTCTCTGCATCTGTCATTAAAGAGTTTGTCTGTGCTTGAACTTCATCAAAATAAACAACACTGCCTGTATTAGCTTTAGCTCACCATACTATCTGAAGTTCATATTGCATGTGCCAGTAGTTCTTTTTTTAAAAATCATTATATAGAATTCAATTTCCTCTATAAAATTACAAAGAGATTGCACTAATCAGAGGCAACAGTTACTGTCTTTTTTTTTTTTTTACAACTTCATGTGTGGCATTTATATTTGTAATTTTCTGGGAGAAATTTAAAAGACTGACTCTCAGGTATGAGAGAAGAATGGAAGAAAAAGGGCTTTTACAGCCTACAGCTTTTCATCCTACCCACAGCTCGTCACATCCTACCCTCTTAAAACCATCTTAATTTTAACATCTCTGTCCAAACCGGTTTTAAAAGATACACTTGGGCATTTAGTTGCTTGGTGTCATTAACAACAAATTTTGAACACTTAGTGTGTTATTGGGCCTATTCTAGGTTCTAGGTAATTAAAGTTGCTAATATAACCCAGTTCTGGAAATTTACCAAAATTGTTTCTTGAAGGTCAGATTAAACAGTGTTTGTTTAATCTGGATATGCATCAAAATTGCTAAGGACATTTTAAAAAATAAATAATCTAGGGCCTACTGAATTAGAATCTAGGGATTGGATGTGAAGCTTGGGGTTCTATATATTTTAAAGGCATGGGTAATTATGGATCGGCTAACCTGACACTGGTTTGAACAAGATACTTGGGAGCTATTAAAATAGAGAATCAGTTGCAGGAAAGCACATATTTCATTAATGCTATTACATATACAACTATAATTTTCCTTTTAGATGTCAAATACAGCTTTAACTTTATCTTTGGCTACTTAATTTAAGAGGTTAATACTCCATTCCTAGTGCCCTTTGAAGAATTTCTACATTCCATATTAGGAATATGGGTAACATTATAGAATTTACATTTGTTTTTGTTATTACCTACAGCTTGAGAGTATTTGGCCACATATTTCAAAGGAGAAAAAATATCTAAGATGGCCTTCTATAAAATAGATGATACCTCTTCCTCATAAAATCATTTCATACTCTGCTTTCAGAAGGGGGTTTCACATTTTGCTTGCTTAACCTCTGCTGATTAGGTGTTGTGTACTTTTATCAGACGCGAGAGTGTTTGGAGCAGTTACAGCTGGACGACCGAGTCCTCTGCCTTCACAGTAGATGGCGAATCCTCTATGCAGGACTAGCAAATGGCACTGTGGTCACCTTCAACATAGAGGTTAGTGGTTGGGGAGAGAAGGCTGAGTTCCCATGCCACTTGAAAATAGTTGGAGATGTGTGTGGAAAGAAATGGAAATTTGTTGGGGAAGAAGTGGGAGACAGACATTTTCTTGTTTTCTTATGTGAGAAAGCAATGGATTAACCACTACTCAAAATTGTTATCATTGGGTGTAGGTGATACAAGATCCTGCATTCTGTCTGTTCAGACCCAAGTGTGCCAGGACCAAAATGTAACTCTGCTAAATTAAACCAAGCCTGACAATTTGGAGCCAAATAATGAGTCACAAGTTAAACTAGTCTATCTCATTTTTAGGAATGACACCCTGAAAAATGAGCTTAAATTCCTTTGAGTATGACACTGATGTGGTTTGGAACTGATTTGGGTTTCATGAGGGTAGCTTGTTCTGTAAAGTGAACTAAGTCAGAGGTTTGTCTTCATGCCCACGTGACCTCATCCTTTCCTAACTCAAAGATAGATTCATTTGTTGAGCGAACCTTTATTGAGCATCTGTTATGTGCTAGGCCCCCGGATGAGGCTTAGGAAATGAGTAGGGACCAATTCTTGATGACCCTGTGTGCTTTGCTAATGAAGTTGGACTTCATTTTATAGGTTTTTTTAAAAAATATATTTTATTGATTTTTACAGAGAGGAAGAGAGAGGGATAGAGAGTTAGAAACATCGATGAGAGAGAAACATCGATCAGCTGCCTCCTGCACACTCCCCACAGGGGATGTGCCCGCAACCAAGGTACATGCCCTTGACCGGAATCGAACCTGGGACCCTTGAGTCTGCAGGCCGACGCTCTATCCGCTGAGCCAAACTGGTTAGGGCCATTTTGTAGGTTTTAACGTATGAGATACATGATCCAATTTGTATTTTAGAACAAGTCACTCTGGAGTTGATAAGATTGGAAAATATTGGTAATAGTAGAGGCAGGGAGACCATTTGGGAGGCTTTCTAACGGAAGCTGACATGAAAGGTTACACTGGTCGGCAAACTGAGGCTCGCGAGCCACATGCAGCTCTTTGGCCCCTTGAGTGTGGCTCTTCCCCAAAATACCACATGCGGGCGCACACGTGCAGTGTGATTGAAACTTTGTGGCCCATGCGCAGAAGTCGATACTTTGTGGAAGAGCCGCACTCAAGGGGCCAAAGAGCCGCATGTGCTCGCGAGCCGCAGTTTGCCGACCACTGGGTTAGACCAAGGATAAGAGATGTAATGTAAGAGATGGAATTGATGGGTTTGGTTACTACTGTGTTGTAGCACTATATCTCAAGGTCATCTGGTCATCTTTTAGCAGCATGGTAGACATGTTAGAATGTTTACTATGTTATGCCCAATTATAGTATCATTCATATAAGAGTTGTAAAATACATCATGGTTTCTGTCTTTAAGAAGCTAGCACATATACCCGAGCACCAAGTTATTTGGTTCACTTGGTAGCAATAGATTACAGAAGGGTAATTCGTGAAGGTTTTTGCATTTCAGATGTGAAGTGCTAATAGCCTAGATTAGATTTGGTTGGGGTAATAGAAATAAAGGAGAAAGAATAAATTCAAATTATTTTAATCAATGAAATTTGATAATTACCTAATTCTTTTCTCTTTTATTAGTTTAATGTATCGAAGGTAGATAGAAGTCAGGAGCATCTTAGTTGAAAGATGATGACAAGAAATTCAGATAGTCTTTAAATGGTTGAAAAACCAGAGAAGATGGACCTCAAGGCAGAGATTTGAGACTCTGCAGAGATGTGAATTTTGAAGCCTTGCCAAACTCCTAGAATGCTATGCTTGAAAGCGAAGGCAGTTTACCAGGGTTTTCCACCAATGGGCCGAACTCTCAGTCTGTCTCCCTAGCACCTCAGGGTGGCTGAAATCGTTGCTTAGCTCTGCAGGCCCCCAGCTGTGCTGCTCTGTGCTTATTAGTTTCTGGGAGTTTTACCCCATGCATGCACCTCAAGTACATTTTTTGAGGTTTTGGGGAAGTGGGAAACTTTATGAACAAGATTGGTGTGGGGATAAGGGAAACAAGTCTGAGATCTGAGAGAAAGGAATGTTTGGGAATTCAGGGTGTGACCATGGGACTCTGACTGATACAAAGGCTTCTGTGCTCCACTAGAAGATGTCCTGAAAGATGCCATAGAACTAGAAGTCAGGAACATCGGAATAGCAGAGAGGTGGAGGACAGACTCTTATTGAAATTGTCTAAAAAAGTCATTCTCAACTTTGGGGGGAAAAAATAGTGAAGGAGTTCCTGGGACTGTGACATAGAAAATAGAGTATGAAAAAAGGTGATCATTCATTATCATTAACTTAACATGAGGGAGGGCGTAAAAAGAGAACCAGGTTCCAGTTATGATCAGGAGAGTGTGGTTGAAGTTAGAAATGAACTCATAAGGTGAGAGTTTGCCCCCACTGGAATGGGGCGGAGAGACTCATGAACACGAGGAGTTGGCACAGGAACGGCAGAGATGGGAAGTTGGGGAATGGGTAAGGGAACTTAAGTGCAGGTAGTAGAATTTAGTTTGTGTTAAGGTAGTGATTTGGGTTAGTTGATTTTGAGGTTTACCAGCTAAGTTGCTTTTACTCCATATAATGGTGACTTATTTTTCAGAACAACAAACGACTCGAAATCTTTGAATGCCATGGCCCTCGGGCAGTTAGCTGTCTAGCCACAGCTCAGGAAGGTGCCCGAAAGCTGCTGGTCGTGGGGTCTTACGACTGTACCATTAGCGTGCGAGACGCGCGGAATGGACTCCTCCTCAGAACCCTGGAGGGCCACAGCAAGACCATTCTCTGCATGAAGGCAAGTACAGGGCAGCACAGGAGCCAGTTGCCTGGCACAAGTGGACGGTTGGAATGACGTTTTCCGTGTTGTCTGATGCCTTATTAGGACACAGTCATCTTGAAAAGAGGAAGGAGGTTACAGTCCTTTTCCTCAGGCCTGGGTCACCAAGGGATGTGCTATTTTTTTTAATATGTTAACTTAGAAACAATAAAAGTGTATTTTACTGTAGACTATAGATACATTCTAATGCCCTTCTCTATAATCATTCTGAAGAGGTAACAGACCCAAATATACACTGTCAATTCATCAGAGTACCTGGTGATAGGACATGCGTTTCAGTTCAGAAAATTTGAGAAATTGGTCTATGCTCATCAAAATTAGAATTCACCAATTTACATTGCAAGTTACAGAGAAAACCCAGAACCTTGTACTGAATCTAACTCATTGAATTCTTTTCTTTAAGGTGGTGAATGACCTTGTGTTCAGTGGCTCCAGTGATCAGTCAGTCCATGCCCACAACATTCATGTAAGCCCTGTTGGCGTAAAGAAATCTTTATAATAGAGTGGTGGTTAAAGCTTGAAGGATTTGTCAGATCTCTTACAATGTAAATTAAGCCCCTTTTCCAGTGAGAGGCTTAATAATAATCCCTATTATCGCTTTTAGATAATACCGAGTACCCTAGAAATTCTGACCTCATCAAAATTTTTAATAGGGAACCAACTCAATGTTTATGTAAGGTTTAGTTTGAATGCTGCATTTAGATGAGATAAATTGAGCATCTGAGGCGCTAAAAAAGTGGATATGATATATAGTTTAAAATAGAACTAACGAAAACAGCTGAGAGGCTACTCACGTCATAGAGGCAACTCTTTGAAGCCTCGTTCCTGGTCTGTAAACCTGGGGATAATCCAAGTGCTCAGGGACTTACCCAGATCCAATGAAATGATAAAAGTGAAAATATAGTTGATCTGTGAACAATACAGGTTTGAACTACTTGGGCAGGTTTGAACTACTTGGGTCCCTCTATATATGTGGATTTCCCCCCAATAAATACCTGTACTGTTTTTGATCTGTGATTGTGAATCCGTAGATGTGGAGGGCTGACTGTATGCGCTATTCTATGCCATTTTATTTATTTTTTAAATAATTAAATCTTTATTGTTCAGATTATTACAGTTGTTTCTCTTTTTTCCCCCCATAGCTCCCCTCCACCCGGTTCCCACACCATCCTCCGCCCTCACCCTCCCCCCCCAGCTGTCCTCATCCATAGGTGCACGATTTTTGTCCAGTCTCTTCCCACATCCCCCTCTTTCCCCCACAAGAATAGTTAGTCCACTTCTTTTCTATGCCCCTGATTCTATTATAATCACCAGTTTATTCTGTTCATCAGATTATTTATTCCCTTGATTTTTAGATTCACTTGTTGATAGATGTGTATTTGCTGTTCATAATTTGTATCTTTATCTTTTTCTTCTTCTTCCTCTTCTTAAAGGATACCTTTCAGCATTTCATATAATACTGGTTTGGTGGTGGTGAACTCCTTTAGCTTTTCCTTATCTGTGAAGCTCTTTATCTGACCTTCAATTCTGAATGATAGCTTTGCTGGATAAAGTAATCTTGGTTGTAGGTTCTTGGCATTCGTCACTTTGAATATTTCTTGTCACTCCCTTCTGGCCTGCAAAGTTTCTGTTGAGAAATCAGCTGACAGTTGTATGGGTACTCCCTTGTAGGTAACTGAGTTTCTTTCTCTTGCTGCTTTTAAGATTCTCTCTTTGTCTTTTGCTCTTGGCATATTAATTATGATGTGTCTTGGTGTGGTCCTCTTTGGATTCCTTTGGTTTGGGGTTCTCTGTACTTCCTGGACTTGGAAGTCTATTTCTTTCACCAGGTAGGGGAAGTTTTCTGTCATTATTTCTTCAAATAGGTTTCAATATCTTGCTCTCTCTCTTCTTCTGGCACCCCTATAATTCGGATGTTGGTACGCTTGAAGCTGTCCCAGAGGCTCCTTACACTATCTTTGTATTTTTGGATTCTTTTTTCGTTTTTGCTTTTCCAGTTGGGTGTTTTTTGCTTCTTCATATTTCAAATCTTTAGCTTGATTCTTGCGATCCTCTAGTCTGCTGTTGGAACTCTGTATAATATCCTTTATTACAGTCAGTGTATGCTTAATTTCCAGTTGGTCCTTTTTCATACCCTCGAGGGTCTCACTAGATTTCTTGAGGGTCTCACTACATTTATCGGCAGTCTCACCCGTCTTTTTGAGGGTCTTACTAAATTTGTCGGCGGTTTCTAGAAAGTTCTTGAAAAACCTTAAAAGTGTGGTTTTGAATTCTATATCCAGTAGTTTGCTTTCCTCCATTTCTGTCATTTGTGACCTGTTTCTTTGTCTCCGCATTTTGGCTGCCTCCCTGTGTCGATTGAGTGGCTTTCTGTGCTGGATGTCCTATAGGGCCCAGTGGCTCAGCCTCCCCAATTACCTGAGGTGGACACTCTTGGTGCACCCCCTTGTGGGCTTTGTGCAGGTATCACTGGGAGGAATTGACTTCCAGGCCAATTGGCTGTGAGAATCAGCTGTGTCTGCAGTGGGAAGACTTCTGTTCTGGAGACACCCTTCTGGGGCAAAACTTGCTTCAGTGGGGCTTTGGTGCTCACTGAGTCTGCCCCCTGAGTGTGACCCTTATGGATCTGAGGAGTTGTAATTGGATGGTCCCCCTCTGACCACTGGGTACACTGGCTCTTGGATCTAAGGAGGTGCTAATTTAGCCTCTGCCTGAGGGGCTGTGTAGAGGAGCTATGAAGAGAGCTGCAGATTCCTCTTCCTTTTTTGGGGTTTGGAGGTCCCCAGATGAGGTCCAGCTATGAAGCAATGCAAGCTGCTGTGGGGCCTGGGGCCTTCTTTTGGAAGTTCTGGGTCTATCTGGCCCAGCTGCAGTTTGTTAGGTAATTTTCAGGTGGCAAAGGGCCAGGGCATTCATATGCAAAAGCCTATGCCGCAGCCTGGGTGGGGAGGTGTCTCAGGGAATCAACAGGGTGGAGCAAACAGCTATGGCTGATCCTCAGCCCTGCCCTAAGAGGCCCCGTGTCTCAGTGTCCCTGTAATCGCTGCAAGCACCTCTGAGAGAAAGCCGCCCTCAAGTTCCGAGTTCTGCCCGCTGCCAGACAGTCCAGTTTCTCCCCATATGAGTCTGGGTCCCCAGAGACTTCCTGGAACTGGAGTTCAGAGCAGTCAGGAGCTTGTGACTCCCTCCTGATTCAAAAAGAAAGCCGCGTCCTCAGGTGCCAGCACCTTTCCGCGCACTTGAGCCTCCGTACCTCAGCACTTTACTTCCGCAGCTCCTGAGTCTCAGTGTGCTTTTCTCTTTCCTTCTAGTTGTAGAATTTCCACTCAGCCAGCCTTCCCGTGGTTCTGGATGATGTACGTTTTGTTTTTTTGTTGTATTTTTGAAGTTGTGGGAGGCAGCAATTTCTGGTGTTTACCTATGCTACCATCTTGGTTTCTTCTCCTTCTATGCCATTTTATATAGAGGACTTGAACCTAGGATTTTGGTATCTTTAGGATATTGGGGTACGGTCCTAGTCCCATTCTTCATTGATACTGAGGGACAACTTAACTTTTAGGGGAGTCAAGAGTTATATGCTGATTTTCAACTGCTTGTGGCCAGCGCCGTTAACCCCTGCATTGTTCAAGGATCAACTGTACTTTGGAAGCTATAAAACACATACAGATAGAGCTGTGACCCTTCTTTTTCTGTGACACTGTTTTCTCCATCAGGATACATTTCCTATAGTTTGTGTGGGTAACAAATGCTTGTGAGAGTACTCCAGCTGTTACAATTAGTGTAGCTGTGTGGTTGGACAAGAAGCCTCAGAATTATGACTTTTAGAATTAGAGAATCATACATCTCAAAGTAGGAAGATGCCTGGAAAGTCTACTAACTCCTCTCTCTCCCGATGCAGACTGGGGAGCTCGTGCGGATCTATAAAGGTCACAATCATGCAGTGACTGTGGTGAACATCCTGGGAAAAGTGATGGTGACTGCTTGCCTGGATAAATTCGTTCGTGTCTACGAGTTACAGGTAGAATTTAGATCCAGTATTTTGCTTGAATGATTTGGGGAGACTGTCTACTTAGGTTTGATATTGACGTTTTAATATAGTAAGGTCGGGTTGGGGCCCAGGAATCGGCATTCTTCACAGGCACTCTGGGTAATCATGAAGCAGCTGATTCCCGGACTGTGCTTTCAGAAACGCTGCTCTGGGATGCGTGGTCAGCCTCATAGGTATCAAAATTTAAATGGTTTCTGGGCAGCAATTGCAGTCTCTAAACCAGGGGTGGGCAAACTTTTTGACTCGAGGGCCACAATGGGTTCTTAAACTGGACTGGAGGACCGGAACAAAAGCATGGATGGAGTGTTTGTGTGAACTAATATAAATTCAAAGTAAACATCATTACATAAAAGGGTACGGTCTTTTTTCTTTTTTTAGTTTTATTCATTTCAAACGGGCCGGATCTGGCCCGCGGGCCGTAGTTTTCCCACGGCCGGACTACGCTTATTAATCACAAAGTGTAAATAACCTTAATTCTCTTTTTGTTTTCTCTCTCCACCTAAGTCCCATGATCGATTGCAAGTTTATGGAGGACACAAAGACATGATTATGTGTATGACCATCCATAAAAGTATGGTGAGTGTTGTTTGCCATGCCACACATTTGCCTTTGAATATATTTACTAAAAATTCTACAAACTGATAATAATGTTAATACTTGTCACTTCCAAAAATGACATCTGTTTCTGATAAGACTCATTATTGGTTGCCTTTCAATTTCTTGGCATACTGTAGATATGCCAAGATAAAACATAGTAATATTGTAGAATATTTCATTTTCCATTTATAGCTAAATAATTGCAATAAAAATCTGATAGTACTATTAAGTAGAAGATAAATTTAAGATGTTTTTTAAAAAAAGTGTGCTTTTCCAGAGACATTATGATCTGAACAGAATATCGGAGTCAGGAGTTTTGGCCAGTATGACATAGTTATAGCATGCCTAAAAGTAGAAGCTAACCCATTTAACTCTGCTAATCCTTGACTTATTTTATTTTTAAATTATGAAGTTGAACAAGAATGGATGGTTTTTCAGACTCTGAGTGGTAGAACCCTGTGTTCCAATGACATACAGATGCCTAATACGGAATGCCCAGTGGAAGCCAGAGCTGCGCCAGTTCAAGTGTAGGTGATGCCTCTGAGCTGCCAGTTCAGCTGTGAGCCAGGGTCCCTAGAGCGGCTCTGGAAGGAGCACAGCGTCAAAGGGTCTAGAAGAAAAGAGCTAGAGGATACTTTCCCATTGTACCATGGGGCTGGTATTGGTTTAGTGTCAGTATTTTCTTAAGTTGCTATAAGTAGCTTTTGACTCTTTTGAGGATGTTTCATAGTTTTTTGGTGTGTGTGTATTCGTCTGATATGATAAACCTCTTTCTCCAGATTTATACTGGCTGTTACGATGGCAGTATTCAGGCCGTGAGGCTAAATCTGATGCAGAATTACCGCTGCTGGGTAAGGAGTGAAACTGTTCAGAGTTGCTTAACTCCAGGCTAATTTATAGACCTTCGTTGTCATCAGCGTAGCTTTTTTCTGTTTGAGCACCCACTTTATGCATTCCACTGTAGGACAAGGAAGCTTATTTTTTAAAAACATACATTAATGCTTTTCTATATTTCTTTAATGGAAAATCTGTTTTAAGATTGGAAATGAAGTATATTTAAATACCCTCCACTCAGGTTATCTACCGGGTGGTTTTTATTTTTATTATAAAATCAGTACATTCTTACAAATATATCAACAGTGCATAAGTATATGAAAAAGTAAAAGTGTTTATTTTCCTGACCTGCCCAATCTACACCCGTTCCTTACCGATTACACATATTAATATTTTGGTTTGTGTTCTCATTGGTTTTGGGGGGATAGGCAAATAAAAATTTGTCTTCTTGAAGTGTTAAACTTCAGCTTTCTAGGCTAAATTGCATAGTTTTTATTTTGGGGTGGGCGCAGGTGATTAACCCTCAAAATGTTCACACTTATCCCTTATAAGCCTTAATTTGTTTCATCAGTTCTAATATTAGTGATCAAAGAAAAGTTTATGACACTGAATTCCCCCCTCCCCCCAAACCCTAACCTTCTTTTCAGATTGATGGAATAAACTCTATTTTAAAATTTGATTTTGGGCTTGTCCACAGCTTAATTACTTTGCAGCTTTTTACACATTACTGTCTGGTTTTTAGTCTTCTTATTGAAGAAAAGCAAATCTAGTATGACAGGATGCAGAGTATACAAATACAGAGTTAGCTTATCTAGAGAAATGGGGAAAATTCTGTCTGGTTTTAAAGCTAGAGAGATGGGAGGTACTGACAGGAAGTGCTCAAATTTGTATTACATTTTAGAAATGAACATGTTAGAATCAGAATCATAAGATTTATTACAAGCAAGCTTGTAGGGAAAAAGCCAAGACAAAGAGTCCTTATGCTTTCTGACTAACGATTGGAATCTAGTCACATTGAGAAGTAAAATTATAGTTAAAAAAAAAAAATAGATGGTCACAATACTGTGATTCAGGTGATCTGTGGAAAGCCAGCTTCCATGGCAAACAGTTTTCTACAGCACATATTTCCACAAATTTTTTTTCTTTTTAATCAGGCACTTTTACCTTTAAGTTTACAAGTCATAGTTCTTAAAATTGTTCAAAACAGCCCTTTCAGTATTACAGGAACACTCTGTCTTTTTAAATAAATGGGCAAAGAAACTCATTTTATGATGGCAAGATAAAGAATAAGTATGATATAAACTGAATTTTATGGTAACTTGTCTACATATTTATTAACTTAACGATGTACTGGCTAACTTAGTGCTTTGCCTTCTTAAAATACCAAAATGTTAGAAGACTTCCCAGTCTTTTCAAGGTTCCTTGTCATATTGATCATTAATTTGGTTGTCTCTGGCTTTGTTTTGTTAGGCAAGAATAAATTAAATAATAAGGGGCTTATTTTTTGTTTCCATCCAATTTATGGTATACAAATAGGAATGGTCTATTTGCATGTTTCTGGTATCCTTTTTAACTTTTTCATTCTATTTCTCTCCAGTGGCATGGTTGCTCTCTGATATTTGGCGTTGTAGATCACTTAAAACAACATTTGCTGACTGACCATACAAATCCAAACTTTCAGACTCTGAAATGTCGCTGGAAGAACTGTGATGCTTTTTTTACTGCTAGGAAAGGATCCAAACAGGTACATTGGGATTTGAGGTCAACCTGAGTTCATTTGACCCCTGGGAGCAGGGTTTGGAAACCTTTTGCCTCATTAGAATGTTCAGAATTATAATAAACTGGAGGCCCGATGCATGAAATTCGTGCAAGAGTAGGCCTTCCTTCCTCCACCTGCCCCCACCAGCTTCCCTCTGGCACTCAGGACCCAGGCTTCCCTCACAGCCCCAGCTTCGTCCAGAAGGTTGTCTGGAAGGACGTCCAGTCTAATTAGCATATTACGCTTTTATTATTATAGATAGGGAGAGCCGAGGGCTTTTTCTTTTTATTATTACTCATAGACTTGAGAGATAGCATAATGAGGTTTCAAATGAAGAATGCTGGGTCCTAACTGCCTTTCATGTGTAGATCATAGAATGTACCCAGGAAGCTCTCCTTGCGTGGGAGTTTGTCTTTTCCTGCCAACTTCTCTCTCATGGGCCCTTTTCCCTTTATTCCTAGGACGCTACAGGACACATTGAACGACATGCTGAGGATGAAAGTAAAGTTGATTCATGAAGTTTTTCGCCTCCCATGTTGGGAAGTCATTAGCTGAACGAATTTCACATTGGCCCCTCACACTGGCCACTGTCCTCCCTTCCCCTGTGAAGCGGGGAAGGAGAAAGTGATTACCAATCAGACTTACCACTAGGGTAAGTCTGAGCAGCTCTGTGGGATGATAGGTTACACTTTAAGATCTTGCTGGAGGTTTGTCAGATTTTAAGGAATCATACTCCTGGGACAGCGTGGCATATGGTAATCTATGCTACTGGTGTTCTCCAGATGTTTATTAAAGATGCAGATCTGAATTGGTTACCTGATTTGACCCTAATCATGTTGTTTTACTGATTTCAGTTTGTGATTTTTACTTTCTGTTCTTGTGATGGTTTAAACTTGTAGTCAAGCTTTAAGTACCAGTTTTTTCAAATGCTAGATTTTTAGGATCAGTTTTAATTTTTCTGCTTGTAATAACTGGGTATTTAAATTGGAAGCAAATAGTTTTCTTCTTAAAAATTATGTTTAGTGTGTGTCAGTATTCTTTTGCTTTGTAGATGACAGAGCTGGCTTTAAATGTAAAGGAAGACAGTAGATTTTTAGCAGCTAGAGTGACTGCTCAGCTGACTATTTTAGGAGTTGATACAGCAGATCACACAATGGCAAGTCCTTACGGACAGTGCTCCCCGAAGACCCTCTCTGCAAGGTTTGCTGGAGTGCTTGGCTCAGGGCAGCACACAGGCCTACTGTCCACGTGAAGTGGTGCTGTGAGACCTGGGCATCACTGCTGCAGGGGTGGCCGGGCTGTTTGACCTGGAGGTGCAGCCTTGACCTCCCTTTGCAGTTTCTGACTCCAGGCTGCTGTGGGATTGAAGCCTACAGAATGCGTTGCACTCACCTGCAGCCCCCAAGATAGGGGAGTTAGGATAAAGCACCTGAATTCAGTTTTTAGGGCCTCAGCAGGCTTCTTAGAAACTGATTTCTAAAACCACTGTCTTGCCCTCACCTCTCCACTAGTTGGGAAGAAAGAGTGGAATCTGGTGAAGTTAAAGACCACCTGTCCATGGAGAGCAGCCACATTAGCAAAGCCTTAGTGAGACTGCGTGGCTTGGGCTTTTCTCCGGACTCCGAAGAGAAGCTGTAGACGTGTTGCTTTCCATTCTTTTGTTTCTGGGTTCACTTTGAAAGGTTCTTCGGGGAGATAGAGGAAGGGAGAGCAGCACGGTGCACACAGCCACGCTTCGGGATGCGGCCCCTACTCTGTTCTAGGAGTGCAGAGCACCCAGGCTTCTCCCTCTCCTGTCGCTGCGCACATCTGCTCACCTGCCTCCTTCACTCTGGCTCTAGGGCAGGAGGACTCCACTGGGGATTCATGGACAGGTTTCAGGAGGGTGTGCGAACCCCCTGAAATTGTATGCAAGACGAAGTATGTGTCCTTTTTCCCAGGGAAGGCTCTAATGATTTTTACTGGATCCAAAAGATTAAGACCTACTAAAGGAGCTACTACTAGATAATGAATGGCCCCACAAGCTATTTACTTCTGTCTTTGTGAATGGGAAAACTTTTTTGTTAACCACACTATTGAGGTTTACATGACACTTGAGAGAGACCTGAGTTAATCCTATTGTATCAAGACTATTTGTGCTGTTTCTCTATGAGATTATGAAGCTTTTCCCACCTCTCACCCCCATTTCCAGTACAGGTGACCAGAGAAGCCAGGCTGTTCTGTGGGTTTGGGAATGGTAAATTCCCAGGAAAGCGAATTTGGACTTATTGCCAAACCTGGCATTTTTCTCTGGGTAGTGAAGCAGCATTTCTCAGATGGCTGGGGAGTGTGCCAAGAAAGTCTTGCATGCACTGGTGCACAGGTGTCTTTCTGTCCTGCCTGAGGACGTGTCTGCAAAGACAAGAGTGGTGAAGCACCTTTGTAGGGCAGTTGCTGGGCAAGTGAGGGGAACCTTTGCAGGTAGAGTTAGTGAGAACCAGTTTGGGTTTCACTTTGGTGGAATTGTGCACAGTCTGCCTGCCTTTGTGTATATGAATAATCCTTGTACATGTGTACACGGATGGGCACCTGTACTTGGAATACTTTTCCTCATTTCGTAGAAATGTCCTTTGAAGCAGTAGCAATAATGTTTTTGTTTTAAAGATGTGTAAAATTTAACATCAGGGTAGTGTGTTATCCTAAACACACTGTTCTAGCTCTGTTTAGAAATAAATGCACCATAAACATCTTGGCTGCTTATGTATGCTTATTGCTTTCAAGTGTCTTGAAAGTTATGCAGAATTTTGGCCATTTTTAAGTCTTCTTTGATGTCCTGACTGATTCTAGCCCTCTGTCGCCCTCAGAGAAGAGCTGTCAGGGGTTTGCATAAACTCTGGTATTTAGTACTTTATGAAGAAAGGAAACCGTTCCATGACCTGACAGAACCTGACATTTCTTATCAGGAATCGGAGGCCATTTTTTAGAACGTTGTTTTTTAATTATGTGTGCCTACTTCTAACGGCTAGAAGCCGAGGAAACCCTGGTATAAATCCTTTTGTGTGCATGTGCTAGTGTTTTAATGGCGGTTTATTCAGATATAATATCAGTCACTTCAAGTTTTATCCTAAAGTTTTAATCAGGTTCAAAATGTATTTTGGCATACGTTTCTACCCGGTTAAACACAATGCGAACAAAACTCTTAAGAGCAAAGAATTAATTTTGATCTGATGCTACTTGAAGAGAACATTATTGCTGCCACACTCCTGCTTTTGTGGGGAGAAGTTTTTTCTGTCTCAGAAGAGTTAGCAATTGAGTGTTTAGCTCCTGACCTACCTATAAGTTATAGGCAAAATCATTGCTGTTTAAGTGATTATTTGCTTAACAAAGGTTTCTTTGTTTTTGTTTTTTGGGGGTCTTGGGTAGATTATACAGTGGACAACTTTAGTGACTAGGTATGTGGATGGTTTGGTGGGAGTAGGTGTACAACATTTAGTGGAATGGTATGGTATGTTTTATGGAAGAGAATTCATTGGAGGGGAGATCAAAGTATATTGCGATGTGACAGATTTTGTTCTTGTTGCCTAAAGGAGAGCTTTCAGAATTGCTGTGAAGGCCAGGCCTGCCACATTGATGATAGTGATCTCGTCCCTGCTCCACATCATCAGGACCCTCAGGATGGCAAAGGAGCTGTCTAAGGACTAGGAATAGGAGCTGTGGTGGCGATTTGGTTATACTGAGTCCCTCCCATATGCCAGTGGATGTGAAATGATGATGTAAACCACACCTACTGCTTATCAGACATTAATCCCTAACCTCACCTCCAACTCCCAGGTATGGGGCCCTGCTGGGCCACATGCACTAAAATTTCCCATGTTTGCTCTGAATTCAAGGTAGTAGCCCAGTGGGATTGGGAAAGAGGGGAGTCAAAGAGGAAAGGCTATTGAAGATCTTCCTGCCTAAGAGGAACACATGCCCTAGAGCTGCTCTAGCATGCCTGGTATTTGAATTTTTTATATTGAATATGGATTAGAAAACTGAAATCAGATGACATTTGACTGCAAAAATGTTTATAAGCAAATAGCTTAGCCTTCTTACATTTTGGTATAAACCTGTGAACTTCATAACTTTGTAAAAGCAAGATACAAAGCAAATACAAGAGGAAAATAAAGTACTTTTACAAATTGTTTACTTTTGCTACCTTATCTGCACATTCCTAGCCAACCCCTTCTTTTCCATGTTGGTATAGAGACTAAGAAGAAAATTGGGTGGAAAACACAAGATGGTATAGATAAGCCACAGACCATGGGCCAGATAAGTTTGTCGAGGTCAATTAATTAATGGAGGAGCTAAGATTAAAAACTACATTTCTGCTCCATTATACTTAGACTAGAGGTCTGGTGCATGGATTTGTGCACTGGTGGGGTCCCTTGGCCTGGCCTGCACCCTCTTGCAATCCAGGACCCCTTGGGGGATGTTGGAGAGCCGGTTTCCACCTGATCCCTGCAGGCCAGGCCGAGGGACCCCACCGGTGCATGATCGGGGCCAGGAAGGACCGCTGGAGGGCTCCAGGGCGTGTCCAGCCCATCTCACCCAGTCCGGATAGGCTGGACCCCAGCAACAAGCTAACCTACCAGTCAGAGCATCTGCCTCCTGGTGGTCAGTGTGCACCATAGCAACTGGTCAAATGGTTGGATGGACAATTAGCATATAGGCTTTTATTATATAGGATAAGTGACCCTCCAATTATGGGTGACCCATTTATTCTTGTTCTGTATACCAAGAGCCATTCCCCTCCATTTCCTCATATATCTGAGTGATTTCTATGCCCAAGAAACACAAATAGGTATGATTAAAGTGGGATTCGGGGTTTATTTGTGTATGTGTGTGTTTTTCATTGTATAATGAAACTTGGGCTCTCTATACGTGAATGTAGGATTGGAAGCTATTCAGCCCATGGCTGATATCTAAATGTGAGAAAACAAAACACAATAGAACCTGCCTTTATTTAGATCTACTTTTTTTCAGAATGCAGCCAAACTTATGAGTCACAACCCACAGTATCCAGCTCTCTGTCACTGAGCTAGTTTCCTCCAGAGCAGGCCCATCGTGAAATAATCAGACAGAACCAGGGCTTGTTTGGTGATTGTCCAGTGGGTGGTAGAGGGATCCAGCACAGGAGGTACTGATTGCCATTGGCTAAGGCCTCTGTGAACAGCCCAGGGCACTGCCGCTAAGGAGAGCATGTGCTTCAGAGCTGAGGCTGCTCAGGTTCCAAGCAAATCTCCGCTGAGCTACAACTAGCTGAGGCAGACAGACACTTGCCACCAGTTAAAGGACAAAGTTCCTTAACTAAAGGGTTAGTTTGGGCATGACAGATGGACAGATGCCCTGAGGCTGAGTGGTAGTGAAGTAGAGGAGGAACAAGACCGATGAGGCTCCTGGAGGCCTGCTGGGGCGCCTGGAGGCCTGCTGGGGCGCCTGGAGGCAGTACCGCAACCTCTGAGGTAAGTGGTTCTAGTATTGGGTGAAACATCCTGAGTGATCCCCACGGCCTTGGCTGAGGCCAGCTTGGTTCAGGAATACATGGTGAGCTGCAGCCACTGAAAGAGGAAGTCCCAAGATCAGAATGCAGACAAGAACAGAGTCCAGCCCTCGGGCTCTCACAGGGTAGAAGATTTTATAGGAAGCAGCAGCATCCTCCCCCAGATCTCTCCTGGGAAGGTACATGTTTCCCAGCGTAAAGTCAATTTAGGAATGAGGACCCTTTGGTGTGTACATTCCCCACGAGCCACATTCCCCACTGCTTCCCTTTCTGTTCCTCTCCTACCCCATCCTTCCACACCACTGGGAAGTGAAGAGCCCCCTGGTCCAGTCTGCCTCATGGACTCCACCTTGAATTTTAAGGTACAAGGGGAGTGTACTCCTTGCAGGCTTTACCTCTAGAACGCTGAGTTTGATGATGCCGTCTCCGTCCTTGTCAAATGCATTAAAAGCTCCTGTGTGGAAGAAGGAATACAAGCTTCTGTGTGGAAGAAGGCCACAGGCTCGCTCTCCCTCTACTACTGTAACTTCTTCAGAGGACCATGTTCTGCCAGGGAGAGTGTCACCTATAGCCCTCCCTTTGCCAACCCATTCTGAGCCTAAAGAGGGCCTTCGCCTTTGTTCATCCCGGACAGAGTAGACGGGATGATCAGCCACAGCTCTCACTGTGGGAGGGGGCGGGAAGGGCACAGAAGAGCGGGGTAGGAGCCCCCACTTACTGAACATGCCCTCCAGCCTGACGAAGCAGCAGATGAAGCTGTCAAAGTCGATGTTCATGTATTTGTCTGCGTACCTCATGGTGATGATGTCGTAGAGCTGGCTGTTGAGGTGGAATCCTGTGGAGGGAGCACTTGAGAGGAGGAAGTAGAGCTGCATTCCTTAGGCCTGCATTCTATCGTCCCTGCCTCTTGGGGAAGGACCATGAGAAGCCCTTTCTCCTCCCTTTGTCCAGTAGCGCCCAGTGGCCTAGTCCTCGCTTCCCATTCCGGCTTCCACCAGCTCCAGTCCACATCCCCAGCCACCGCCGCCCCGCCACCCCCCTCCCCAGCACCTGCATCGTTGACTGCATTTCGCATCTCGTAGCTGTTGATGGTGCCAGACTGGTCTGTGTCGTAGCGCTTGAAAATTTTCTGGCAATAGGAAATTTGAGGTCAGTGGTTTCACACTAAACCCCAGGCTCAATCTCCTCCTTCACTCCCACACTTGGTTCTCTCTCCCCACCTGCCAGGCTTTGATCTTCTTCCAGAGGTGATGGAACTCTTGCAAGTTCAGTCTCCCAGAGCCATCTGTCTGGAGGAAGGTCAGGGCTACAGGGTACACATAGCAAAATCCTCTGGGATTGGGAGGGGGTTTCTAGAAGGCTCTGCAGGGAAGGTAGCCCCATAGGAAGGCTCTGCCCAGGATATGCTAGCCACTGTCCTGTATTAATGCCCTGTCCTGGTGCTTAACCCTCCCCTCCAAACTCCCCAATCAAAGGTAGTGTCTATGACCCAGGGAACCTGCCTCCTTGGCCAGGGACCAGCCAGAATCCCTGCCTGAGGTAAGAGCAGGACCCAGGGGCTGGTCACAACCAATGGCCTTCCCAACGTGTACCTCCTCCAACAGCCCCTTTCAGACCAGCAGCTGGAGGTTCTGACTCAGGACCTCCCTAAGCCTTTTCCTTGGGTGCGATTTTGGGCCCCTCTGCCTGACTGGGCACCCCTCATTGTTGCCCTGGCCCCCCGAGGGTTGGGAAGGGTGGCAGGAAGGATACATCCATGAGAGCAATCATGCTACGGCAGGACTCCAGCGTGAACCCTTGTGTCTTCAGGTCCTTATCTGGGAGGTATGGAGAAGAGGAGCTACTTTCAGATCACACACACACACCTGCCCATCATCCCGCACAGACAGCTTGAGCCACTCACGTTTGTTCACAACTGAGTTCAGGATATTCTTGAGCTCGTCTGCACAGACCTCCATGTCCTGAGCAGGAAGGGAGGGGAGTCACGTTCAAGAGAACAGAGCTGCTGGGCAGAGGCTTTGCAAAATGAATTCCGGCTGCCCCTGTCTGTACAGTCCCTGTCAGTGCTATTGCCATAGGGAAGCGGGGCTTTTTTGTGGAAGACGGACATTGCACCCGGGCTGTCAAGACTGCAGTGGGCAGCTCAGCCAAAAGGCCTCTGAGCCACCCCACGGGTGTGTTTGTCCAGAACTCAAGGACTTGACTTGGGGATGTCTGTGCTACCCACACATATCCCCTGTTTCCACCCAAATGACCTCTACTGAATGATGATGAAGTAACTGGTCGTGTGAGGAGTGTCTGTGGAAGTTGGAGTTGGAGGTACTCACATCACCCGCTATTTGCTTGAAAATGTTCTGGAAGTGCTGCTGCTCTTCAGTTTCCTTGTCAGTGTTGCCAGGCCGTGGCTGCGGAAGCACAAGGGAAAGCTGGCTCACGGGTGGGGGATGGACAGACCCTGAGGAAAGTCTCTTCGGGCCTAAAGGAGCCAGAGTGCGTACAACAGCCCCAAGGGGCAGCAGGAGCTGTGTACAGGGCAATGCGCCTTCCTGGTCAAACCTCGTGAGCAGGCATGAGAGTCATCTAGGCGCCAGCGACCCTTCACTCCATACCTCCCCGGCCCAGACACCCAGACAGGAGACTCAGCCGTGCAGACATGCAGACAGCCCCTGTGGTCCCTTTCCCCGTCCCCATCAGCTAGAGCCTCTCCACTGTTGTGAGCCTGAACATCCCAACCAATCGAGTCCCAGCAGGACACAGGGGGCCAGACCATTCTGACAACTCCCAGCTGCCTCTGTCAAGGCCCAGCCCTCAGAGGGCCTGTGCCACCCCTCCCGCCCCCCCCAGTGGAGGTGGCCCTGGATTGGTCTATGGGCCTTTGTCCCTTAGCCCCACCTCCACTAACCATTAGATGACACTTCTCCCCACTCCAGGCTAGCCCTCCCCTTGGCTCTGGAGGACTCGATATCTCTCATGTCAGCCCCTTTCCTGCTACTGAACCCCCTCCCCTGGTTACGAGCCCGAGGACACCAGGAAACAGGAGCTGTTCTGTCTCAGGCTCTGCTGCCCCCCTTCCCTCATCGTCCTGCTGGACAGGCCCCAGCAGGGAGCTCAGCCTGTCCTTCCCAGGCCTGGGACTGCCTGGATGTGGCTGCCAACCCCCAAGACAGCACCCCAAATTTTAGAAGAACTTGGTGAGGGAAAAAGGTCAGTGAGATAAATCCATCTGCTTGATGTTAAAGAGACACCCCACCCTTAGTCCCCTCCAACTTGAGCACCCCAAAAGCATAGAAGACCCCAGTGTGTGCTGGCCACCCCATTCATGCCGCATGCCCAGAACCTGTGGGGATTTCTCTGGCTTATCAGGGCCTGTTTTGTCTTTGCCCTCCTCTGCTTCCTGGTCCACACTCAGTTCCTTGTTGCTGTTTGCTCTGTCCGAAACGAAGATGATAGGCTGCAGAGGGGGGCAGGGGGGAGGGGCAGGAAGGAAGCCAGGGTTACAGGCTGAGGAGACAGGTGGGCAGCCTCCTCCGGAGCAGCTGGCCCAGCGAAGAGGGAATGAGCAGGTAGGAGCTCCTGAACCTCAGTCACTTCAAGCCCTATTTCGGCCACTAACAAGCCGTGGGGAAGATGCCAAGCCTCCCTGG